GCACACACAATCAACAAAAATATTGTTGTTTTCTAATTACGCAAATAACTTTGCGCAGTTAAACATTTTAATTGCCTGGCAATAATTCAATTGACTGTCATTCTCGATTGAAATATCAGAATTTCACAACTAGCTCACATTTACCCTCATGACGCTATATACCTATATATATTTATAACTTTGGTTGTGATTGAAATTTTTTGATGCGGTAAAAAGTATCGTTTTGGGGCTATATGATGAAGAGAAATTAAAACATAACTGATGCTTAAAATTTCCTCGAACAAAGCTTTCGACTAGCGGCGGGTTTCTAGTACATTATATTCGGAAATATATTAATGTTGCCATGAGCATGAAAGGTTGAAAGCACAAAAATACGTCATGTCAGAATGACTGAATGACGTGAATTTCCAAAGGAATTAAGGATGATCGTTTCGTGGAAAGTTGAGATAACTTTTTTCTCTATTGAACAGGATGTTTCATTAAAATCCTCTTTGTTAGCAAATTTAAACATTTATCTTTTGTAATATGACCAGTCATTTATGAGAACAATTTCGCCACAAGATGTTTTACAGTGCCTATATTTCCCTATTTGATTACGATGGCCTGCATTTATTGCATGCCCACGTACAACTTGTTTACTTGTATGTAGACACTAGACAGTCTGTCTACAAGCAAAGATCTCATTTTTAAATGATTAAGTGAGTTCCAGGCTTTGCCTTAAACAGTATTTCCGGCTGGAGATGGATCAAGGATGCCATAGCATACTGCATAGAATCCCGCCAAAAAGTTAGAAGTTGTTAAACTACGTACCTGCTGACTCAATTCAGATATATTTACCATAATTCGCAGAGGTCGTTGATGCAGCATTCTCTGATTCTGATTCATCCTGGCCAGCCTTAAAGACGAAATAGCTAAACATTACAACAAAATACAGCAATGGTCAAAGCATATCATTTCATTCTTTTTTTGTATACCAAATGGTAGATCATTAATAACTCAATAAGATTGGATAATTGATTCAATTGTGAAAAGCTGTAAAGTATGCAGAAAGCAGCAAATGATCTGTTTGAAGTGATCAATATTCATTGGAAGGCTAATTTTACTATTCTATCACGTGATGATTTAATTTGTATTGTGTCTATGGTCTAGTGGATGAAAGTTTAAATTTAGAATAAATTAGATCGAGACAGCATTAAATGTGCTACAGGTTTTCTTTCATATTAGCAGAAGGGTATTTTGTGGATTTGTTGTGTCCAAAGATATTAGGAAACAGCTATCGTGCTGTTGCACGATATCGTGCTGTTGCAGCTATCGTGCTGTTGCAGCTTCTAGTTCTTTATACTTATAGATGATATCTTGGTAAATAAAGAGTGGAGTTGATCTTCTCTGAACTTAAGTCCAACAAAGTAGAGGACGATACATCATACAAGGCGGCACATATCAAATTTTACTCCCGGTACCTCCAAATTTACCAGACAACTGTAACTGGTAACAGTGAAGACAGGTTCTGGAACTGGTCCAGGAAACTCAATAATAAGCAGCGTACTGGGACTTTGACAGTGCCTGCATTCTGCAAGTTCGGTACTTGCCAAGCAGATCTGTAAGTCGTGCGTAAAGTTGGAGGACGGAGGTCACGTGATACTTTTGACAAATGTACGTCGTAGTAGTATGTCATGTGATGCGCGGCCAATAGTTTCTCGTGAGAAATGAATAATGGGCGGTATTATTAAAACTGTGCAGGGATTATTAACTAACAGGGGAAAACAGCGGGATGGATTAAAATATAACCCCTTATTTTCTATCCCGTCCCTTGGGGGTATCCCGGAGGTCAACTTCCAGAACCTTTTTCACAGCCACATTATAGTCGCCAGCTTCGAGGAAATATAGTTTTGTATTTTGTGTATTGACTTCAAATAATTGGAGACATGGTATTACTTATAATTGAATGTTAATTATAATATGCAGTATGCACATTGTACATTGCACTTCAAACCTATGCTGGTAACGCTGCTATTTTACTGTGGCCGATCCGTCGCATTATATCGCTCTCATTTTATTCGAATAAAAATATTGCTGCAATATTGTCACACCTTTGCAGGAGCAGGAGATATTTTCACTGATAAATAAATTCAAAACCGAGACCTTTTAGATTAAGCTCCAAGAGCGACTGACAAGACTCGTTTTATCACGAACTGTGTTCAAAAACATGACGTATATATATTTTTTAAGGGCCCATGCTTGTGCAGGAGCTGCATTTGCACTCAATATCTGTGTTTTGGTGACCCTCAGGTCCTTTGGTTACATACATTTTGTCCGAGACAATTTCAACTTTGACAATCCATGCTTAGAGGACAATATTATATTTAACTAATTCATTGTGTAAACTTGTATGTAATTGACTGATTTGAAAGATTTCAATAAAAAAAAAGGTATTACAATATAATACGTCTGCTTTCAAAAAAGCAAGCTATTATTTTTTTTTTTTTTTAATCTAGACACTTATTTTACTTCGGTGTATTCCAACAGCCACAATGTTACACAAGTGCAACCAGCCAATTACAGGAAGCCGAAGGATCTTTTTGGCCAGTGACGGTTAAGGTAGTGTGTACCATACTTTCTTCGTCCGAGACTTTGCTGCAATGTGCAGCTCCTCATTTAACCCTCACACCCGATTTCTCGAGTATTCGGCTGAGTAGACCGGGGGGCTGCATAGACCACTCATGATCCTTAGCTGAACGTCGACGACGCTCACCCCACGACCAGGCAGTCAGTGGGTTTCGAACTCGCAACCTAACGATTGTAAGACAGGCGTTCTAACCAACTGCGCTACCTGGCCGACGTAAACTTCCACATGTCTATAACATAGATATACAAAATGGTAGAGGAGTCATTTGCACCAAGACAACGCTCAGTCTCCCAGCTGTTAGTTTTAACATTCTGTGAAGGGTGATAATTTTTCTTCTCTCTTGTATTGTTACTAACCTGAAGCGTCGAACGAGGCGAAACTGTGATTCCAGGAGAGGAGCATCCTTTGGGTATAAACAAGTTAAAATCGAAAATGACGCCGCTTGGTATCTTTTTTAGCTTTAAGCTTAAAAGCTTAACACAGTATAGAAATACGGTCCAAACTTCAACAACAAGTTTTTAGCAAAATCAAGAATTTGCTATTGGCACGGCTTTTGATCACATGCTTTTTATGGCTGCCAAAAAGTTTTGCGTGGTAAATAATTGAATCCTTGAAAATAGGTCGAATATTGATAAGTCGCTAGTTACGGTCCAAATCTATGACTATGTAATATGTATGTACGTTTCGTAAACAAGATTTTTTTCAAGAATGGGACTCTACGACTTAACTTAACTTCATCATATACGATATAAATGTAGGGCAACTGTGAGTTTCAGCAAATAAATAAACATTCTGCGCGATAACACATGCCATTTTGACTTCAAAAAAACTGAGAATAAAATCACAAACTGAATGCCACTCTTTTCACAACAGTCCTTCAAATTTAAACATTTTTAAAAATCAAAGAACTCAAAAGAACGTGATGAAAGGTTTTAGAGTAACTGCATGTTACGTATAAAATACGTCACCTAAGCTCAATTATAGGCGTAATTATTTGTCACAGCAAACATACAAAAAATTTAATTTTCTTCGTTAAAAGTGCTGGTATAGTTCCAAAGTTATTACAGAATCACGACGTTTGCTGTCTATTGTTTTTTGATAATGGTTTCACCCTGCAATTTGCGGTTGCTTTCTAATTTAATTGTGACCTACGTTTTCGATTATCATCCTCTGAAGTGGCATGTTTTATTTTGACACGCTTAGAACATAAGCTATATCAGTGTAAGTAACTTTTATTCATTTATAATAATAATGTAAATTAATAATTGAAAGGAATAGGGCTGTACAAGGCGTATTCTCAGCTTGTTTGGAGACATTATAACAGCATTTTTATTGGCAATTTATTGAAATGTATTCATGGACACTGAATACGTCATAACATGATGCAAATTCACAAACCATGCCATGAGAAAACCAAAACCAATGCCATTTCAGTTAGGCTAGTCCCCCGGACTTTGTATCTGTCATCGCTAAGTTTAGTAATCACTTTAGTAATTAGACTAGTTTTTATAAATCCAGGTAGACTTTAGGAAATTACAAAATTGGTCAAGATAAGTTACCATTAATGGTCATACATCCGGATCCCGAGAGTGCCGCCACAGTGCCTGAGTGCCACGAGAGTGCCGCCACAGTGCCATCGGGATCCGGATGTATGACTCTTTAAATTAGCTTTTAATTTCAGAAATGTTCTCTTTTGACTGGAGCTCAGTCCTTACGAAGGTAAAGAATGAGTTAAGGGCATGGGTCAATGGTACAAATCTAAGACTAAAGAACACGACTGAACATAGGAGGGATATTGACGGAACGACTTAGTCTCCTTTTAGCGTTTATTCATTGAAAATATTCATATGGAATCAGCAGTATTGTAACTTATGTTTTGGCTCATGAATTGTTGAAACATAATGAAAATGTAGGTTAGCCAACGGTGAGAATAAAGCAAATGTGTTCATACAATGTAATAACTGGTAACCATAATTATATTTTCCGTATTGGAAGCTTAAACCCAATCACCGATACGAGGTTAACTAGGACAATCACATAACCGCACAACTGTTTAACCGTCAGAAGACAGTTCTTCAGTGATCTTTATTGGCTGATAAGTCATCAGAAGACAGTTCTTTTCCTCGGCATTTATCATTACTCCCTTGCCAATACCTCAATACGGTGTACTAATGCAGGCAATATGTATTATGTATCTACTATTTGTAAATATCCTAGAGACAGTTATTGATGGGTTCTCTTGTCATGGAAGAGTTATGTTAACTGCATTATATATTTATTTAACTAACTTTATCACCGACCCTTTAATAAATAATAATAATTAATCAAAAAAACAAACATCAAAATTCATATAGAACAGTGGTGAGTGGGGTGTGTTACCAAAATCGATATGTAAAGATGTAATTGTAAACAAACAGAAAAGCAGAAACACGTATTTCTTTACTGAATACAAATCATATATCAATATACATTTTACAGTATCAAAACACATGTAATTATTTATTATGTCGAACATTCCTGACATCTCGGTTAACGAAAATATCCGATAACGAAACTCAATAAGAAATACATTTTGATCAAAAACTAAACTTTTCAAATTAACGTCCAAATACATGTCTCATCCTCAAGGTTCGTGTAAAAAAGAAAGTTTTTTAGTTGTGGTTAGTTCTGTTTATAATTATACATTGGTTCAGAAGTTCACAATTATTAAGTTATTACACTTCTGACAATAATTGGGGTAGTTGTTATCTTATCACGGATGTTTCACTCTCAGCTGGTCTGTGCTTTAGTCGTTAGCTCCCAAGACATAAAGTAACTGTACGATATCCTCTTCGCCACACATCTTCGCGTAACCTTGTAGATTGTATAAAAATAAAGTTTATTAATTCGTATGAAGATTGACGGGTGAGCGTGTGATTAATCTCCAGAGTATTATTTTATACTTACTGAGGGGTGTGTGGCCATTCCGTGCTTTCTCGTTGATATCCAGTTGTTTGTGTTCCAGCAGCAACTTGGTGATGTCCTTGTACCCACAGTCAATTGCTATCATTATCGGGGGGTATGAATAGTAGTCTGAAGTCTTCACACTGGGGATTGTTTATAATTTGTTCCCAAATCGAAAGATGTTAACTTGACAACATGAACATCCTCAACTCTCAAGGAATCATACTGTAATCAAGGAAAATATCTTTTTACTGAGATATACTACTATAATAATACTAGGCATCTGGTAGTGCTACTTCCACATCAAACCTGGCGCCATGTGCGATGCATTTCTCAATTCCTCTACCACTTCTGTTTCTGATCTGCTCTATGAGCTTCTGATATAACTTTTCCTTGTTGTTAAATCTGCCTCCACAGTTAGGGCCGGGCAAGTTAACAGGAGCTGAAAACAGATAATCACCCTGACTTAACGCATGTTAATTAACAGCATTGAGGAGCATTGATTTACAGCATGGGGAGTTGAATACTCCGATACTCCAAAAATAAACCGGTATTCAAAACAAAAACCAAAGGATACGTACCGGCCTGGAAGTGTCCTTGTGCAAGGTAATCCGCCATAGCTGACAGCACTAAGTTGGGTTGTAAGCTTGTCCGACGTCCCGCCATTGTTTTCAACTAACAATCACAATGTTTTATAATATGTTAGTTAAGGACAGAAGGGGGAGGGGGGTGGAGGGTAAACATCATTTCTCTAGTTTTAACATAATATATGATATGGCTGTGGGAGATGAACAAGTAGGGAAAAAACCACATCAAAATCTGACCTTGCATTGCTGAGATATTGTGTAATTGTGCGCCGAAGTTTGAGGTTTAACTGTAATCACATATAAAACTTAAATTTAAAAAAGGTGAACCTACACTTTTGGAAAAGGCTGGCCACACCTAGGACCTGAGACTTGGCACAGGTGTTCTTTGGGCTATTACCCAAAATATTTATGTACATAATCTTAATATTTGCTGTTGTTCTTGAAATATAAGGTTAACGTTGCACCAAATTATGCATTTTAATGGCCTAAACATTAGTCACTATTGCAAGGACAGATTTAGGTACTGGTCATTTCCTAATAGGAAATATCAAATACCGACATCGCTTGAAAGGGCCCACTGGCACGATAATTTCAGTGAATCCCCTAGGAGAGAGGAGTCAGGGGTAAAAACACTGTTTTGGTCTATTGACAAGCTAATCGAGTTGTTTTCAGTTAATGTTGTGCAGTTAGGGTTATTGTATGACCTTTTCGTTCGAGTTTGGCTTGGAAGACAGTAAATACCAAAGTCATTTCACAATTTTTGGGAGAGCGGATTAACAAAAGCCAACAAACTACAAAGATTCATTACAATGCAGCAAATGACAAGGTGTATTGAGAAGATCGAAAAAAAGTATTTATACGAAATATCTCGGACAGAATCGGCCGTACGTAATACGTATGCCCATTATATTTACATAAAGCAACGAGAATTGGCAAAGAACGAGCAAATATTGAAACAAAGAGTCAAAACACAGAACAATGTTACCACGTGCCTCAACACCGTGGCCCAGGGTAGAACAACATCACCGAAAACATGGGTTACGAAACGGTAGGAGACCAGCCAAACTGGCATAATGGACAGATCAGCTGTTTGTTGAGGCCGGCAATCAATCACTGTCGAACCGAGCATTGGCCAAGTTATTAATAATAATACATATATATCCTCATGTGACAGGAAATATTTCAACTGGTATTTGTCAGTTCGCGGAGGTGTAAAGATTGATCGCGTCAACCGGTAACGCTACTATTAATAGGCAATTAGTAAATGTTTTTAATTAGATAATAAATTGCGCATATTAATGACAAGTGCAAGTTTCACGTCGGCTTGACACACAGGTAACATGTTACATGGGAATTAATAGTGCTAACAAGAATTAACGTGACGTGTGATCCGCTGCACGGCCGATAAAAGGAATAAAAATATTTACACTGTAATGTACAAAAAGAACGCTGTAGATTTTAGGATTACGTAGCTGTGAACCTTGTTCGGCTAACTTCATTTTGATTTTGAAATCAGCGTAACTGTCAAAGTTTCAGTTGCTTGGCACGGGATACCAAATGTCATTCACAAAAAAGAGTAATGCCTTTCCTCAGAAATCCAATTCCAACGTGACTAATAAGTAATACTATACTGACAGACTACAGTTTGTTATACTGTCATAGCTTTTAGGCTGTCATTGTTCAAGAACCAAGGCATCAACTCTGCCACGTTCTCAACTCGTGTCTCAGCCCAACCTACGGGAAGTGGCACAACCAGCCCTAGATGGGCATGGAAAAACCCAATACCGAGCATTATGTTGCACTAGGGAGTTTAGTGCTTATAAGATACATAAAATACGTTTATAAATAGCGAGTACATTAGCGATCACACGCGCCAAATGATCAGCCGTCATCTGTATGAAGTTTTACCACGCGATGTAATTAAAATACATGTCTGAATGAAAATTTGAAACATTTTTCAGTACATTTGTAGACTATTTGTAAGGTAACACGTACCTTCGTAAGGTAACACGTACTTGATAACAATTTGCACACGACATACTTTGTACTGGGTACGTAATACCTGATCACACCTGATGTGCTATCATATTGAACGAAAAACGACTTATACTGGATTTCAACATCTTACATCTCTGGATGCTGACTCAAGCAAATCTAAAAACGTAGAATCTCCTAGCAAAAATTTTAATCTTCGAACACCGAATATCAAGCTCTTGTCAATTAAATGGTAACCTAGACATTAAGATCTTGAGGCTACCCTACACAATTCCTAAAATGCATCAATTGAATTGAGTCCTTTTCTGTATATGTGTAATGTGTATTATTGTTAAATCACATTAAGTGATCGTCAATTTCATTGGTCCTTATAATTATATATTGATGTATATTGTATATATATATAATATATATATATATAGTTTATGTATAATATGGTCATATGAGCCACTTTAAATTTGTTACTGTACAGTGGGCACTATGTAGTATGTATACATAGTACAAATAACGTATTTTTTTAATTTATTGAAATCTTTCAAATCAGTCAATTACATACAAGTTTACACAATGAATTAGTTAAATATAATATTGTCCTCTAAGCATGGATTGTCAAAGTTGAAATTGTCTCGGACAAAATGTATGTAACCAAAGGACCTGAGGGTCACCAAAACACAGATATTGAGTGCAAATGCAGCTCCTGCACAAGCATGGGCCCTTAAAAAATTTAAATTTGTTATCAATTTAAAGTAATTTATCTTGAGGTTCATTTAATTTTACTAACTTTTAAAATTTAACTTTGATAGTTGAGACTAATGTTGAGACCATCTGTTGCGATAGAGCCGGGTAAATTATAAATTTATGACGTTTCCTCTGCAGTGAATATTACACCGTTTGCCGCCCCCATTATTGGTAATATTCTATATTGAAGTGCAAAGATGTAGTTAATAGTGTCAGAACATGATACAGCTACAATAACGGACTCTATCTGCCAATCAAGAAAAAAAGTCTAACAAAAAATAAAGAATAACAAGCAGCATGCTAAATTAATAACAAATAAACTTACTCCAAGTCCAAGAGTCCTGGCGAGCATATTTAGGGTCGACTTGGGGGATGTTGGGATTGGATTGTTGGAAATGTAAACCTGCGAAAGCTGGTGATACGTTATATGATGGATGTGCGTATCCGTCCGAGGATTCAGCTGGTTCGAAAGCCTGTAACATCATCCTGTAATCATTTACTGGTCACTTGGAATAAATGATATTTGCAAAAAAATTTCCGTGCATATTCAGAAGTCATTTTTAACGTAATTATGTGCAATATTGAACATTACCAGTCTACTGCCAGTATCAACAACAATAAAAAGCGAACAGAGATCAAACTCTAGGAATTACAAAGAGGCTTTAACAAAAAGGAGTTCAAAAGGCAAAGGTTGGACGGTTGTGTAATATTTTATGATCATGCCTCAAGGTTACCCGGACATTTGCTCAACAGCAGATAATATCCGGTTGAAAGTTTGGTGGAACCTAAAAACCGGATTGTTTTTTAATAATATCCAATTACATAACAGTGAGCAATTACTGCTGTAAACTTGGCATCAGTTGTTATGATTATCAGGTACAATTAACATATCGGACATGAAACACGCCCAAATTTAATAATCAATAATTTAATAGAGATTTGAACCAATTTAGTTTCAAGTTTGACCAAACTATCAATCAGTCTTTGTCTATTGATGAGCAAATATCCAGGAAAAGAAACGAGCAAATTTCGTTCCGTTCGAATTCCATCTTGATTTCTGGTTCGGTTAAGGTTTGGCTACAGTTTTCCCGAAATTTTTTAGGGTGGCAAATGGTGGGAATCTCGCCAAAACCTCCCCCTTTCACTATCGACAATACTAATAATACAATAGTACACTACTTTCGTCATCTTAATATTTGATCAAATTCATCCTTAAAGTCGAATGGTGCTCAATTATTATGAATTATGAAATAACCAAGCCTATATTTAACGTACAATGAAGGTTTAAAAATTAAAAATACTGCTTGTACTTGGTTTGGCAAACAAAAACCGTGGTTATGTCGTATCCGGATAAAGTGGTTAACTTTATCACAAGCAAAATTAATTAATCTCTCGAAGACAACAACCAATTGGATTTGCTGTCTTGAAAAAGTCAGGTTACCCCATTCACCAAGAATAAAGAAAAAATAATCATAAAGATAAGACAACAGAACCTGCTAATTATGCCTCTTCAGCCGGTATCACGTGACCATCCTCATTATCCCGCGCTCTAAAACTCTATTGTTCGGACCTATTCACGTGCTCCTTTGCAACGCTTATATTTTGTTACCCACCATTTAGAATTCAAACCTATCAGTATCATGTCAGTTTTTTTTATAATCGAAAATAACCATATAAAGTTGTTCATGTTGTGAATGAATTTGTAACAAAGGTTTCTTTTTAAGAATGTGTTGTCCATAGTCCCAGAAACTGATGGGGGAAATTTCTAGAACACTTTTTCTCCAGGCGCCCATTCACCACAACCCTAAAAGTAATAACTCAGTCTTGTAAGATTGTGAGACATTAGGGGCCATATACTTAGGACGTCCGGAAAATAGGGAGGAGGGTGGTTTTGGAATTTCGGACAAATCCGGACAGGGGGAGGGGGTGGTTTCTGAAAATCCGGACGTCCGTAAATTTTTGCAGAATTAACGAAAAATTCTCATTTATTTCAACTCTTTGACAATGAATTTGAGTTGGTTTTATTTGTACTCTTAAAAGTAGCTGGAAATTTGGACGTCCGGGGAGGGGGTGGTTTTGAAAATTCAGACACGCCCGGACAGGGGGAGGGGGTGGTCTGAAAATCTGCAATTTTGGCGGACGTCCTAAGAAGATGGCCCCTTAGTAACATAAAATTGGGGTTTTGGTGACCTGCTTTTCTTCTTAAATCAATTATTTTACTGCTATTGGACTAAACAACTGACCAAAATGCCGAGCTATATTAAATGAGAACTAAAGAGCGAGAAGACAGATTATGACAAGAACATGTCGGCCCGATAGAGTCAATCTCTAGGATGATATGGAGAGACAGAATGTTGAGATAGATAAATCAAGCAAGAGAATTAATGTTGTCGCTTTCTAATCGTCCTGGTCAGCTGATCCAGCCGGTGGATTAACATTCCCGAAAGAGAAAGGGCGAATATAACTTCTGTTGCTTACGAACAATCGCTGTTTTATCGTGGAGTCCTAAAATATGTTATTGACTGAATATAATATAACTGTCGGGAGAATCGATGGTCAAACAACAAGAACAGTCAGGACGAAGTTATGTAAAATATGCTGAGTAATAGTTTATCATATTAATTGGCTGATGTTTACTTCCTTATTGACCACTGCATACTTGGAGGAAGACATTAGACCTCCCCATGTTGCATTGATATAACGACTGATCCAGCCATGTCCCATGAATAACTTATTCAATAAGACTTTTAAACTTAAGTGCGCATGTTCGGTTTGGTTACTTGAACCGCCCCCAATCTCAACAGCGAAATACATGTATGCTCCTAAGATTAAAGAAACATACAATGTAATCACTCACGTGGTATCAACCACTAATCAAATATGGAGCTCATGAGTTTGCCTGATTTTGCTGTGACGATTAGAATATAATATGATTTCATATACCATGACTTTTATACGCTAATCTAACTGCTTATAATGCGACTACGCTATTAATCGCACGAGGCGAAGCCGAGTTCGATTATTGCAGTTATTTCACGAGGCGCAGCCGAGTGAAATAACTGGTGTAATCGTATTATACACGCAGTTCGATTCGCTTATAACTTCACGCTATTATCAATTAGTTTACTGTTTACTGAATAACTCCTTTTTGCACTTAAAATGTTATAGGATTTCACAAGGGTTTTAGCGTTACCACTCAACTGCTTACTTTTAGTACTGACCCAAATAGTTAACTAAGTCGATTGGTGGAATAATTCTATGCTATAAAAACATTTAACACTAAGCTAAGGATTGTTCACATATTATTGCAAAAGCCATTTTTGGCCAATTAAATTTAGAACCGCTACTGTATACATAGCTAATAGTATTGCGAAGAAATTACACTAGCTTTTCAAAACGCTCTCGTCTGGCTTACTTAATATGTGAACAATCCCTTAATTCCAGCTATTTTAAGTTTTGATATTTCAACATTACCATATAACAAATAATTTGAGCTTACTATGTTAATGTAACAAGCTCAAAACTGGCTAGAGCATAATAATGTCCCCAGTATAGCAAACCTGTGTTTCAATGAATTTTGTTTTAATATAAGTTGAAAATACGGACGACGGCAAATTTTTGGGAATGGGTTTTTCCTGATCATGCTTTTATAGGATTTCTTATAACATTTTTTAATGTTATAAGAAATTTGCCGTCGTCCGTATTTTCAACTTATATTAAAACAAAATTCTGCCATAATTGATGATTAGTTTTGCGTGATTTCAGTTTTCCTGATTCATATGTTGTATTTACGTCTTCAGTTTACAAATCAGTGAAACACACACATACTATGCGGGGGGACTACAGACCCCCTCAAAGTCCTTTACAACGTTACTGCCAGGTTACATAGCACTGAAAATCAATATCATCAGAAATTCAAATTCAAAGCAACGCCGTCATAGTATTACAAAGCCCCAAAACGCAACAATGCTTCAAACTCTATTATAACATGAGCATGCAAATAACATAAATCATCTATAATTATCCATGCAAATTCTAGATGAGCATGACATACAAGAATTCCTGTCACATTTATACATGCTATAGTTTGATTCATCTGCAGTAGGAGCGTTCTGGAAACTGTTGTTATTCATGATCACTTGTGACAGAAAACAAGAAGAGAGACAAAATTGTAACGTTTTCATGTTACATATTATTAAATGTCACTTTATATCGATACTGCGTTTCACTAACACTCCGTCTCAAGTAGCATCAAATGACTGAGGGCGACGAGAGGGAACCGAGTGAGAGACTGCCTGGGACGGAGCAAGAGCAACGTCCTGTGGAAGAGGTGCCGCCTCCTCCACCCTCCCCTCCCAATCTCACTGACAAGCTCAACAAGAAACTCCTCACTTCCTTCCTTGACAGACTCAATAATGGACAGGTCGGTAACCTACGTATGTGACGCTCAAAATAAACGTTTGATTTGATGGAATCTGAACAATATTTATATATTTGGTGTGTATCAGTATGCGGTATGCAGTATGGCATTGATTCAAAAACGCTAAATTTTCTTTTTCTCAGATACCAATGCTGGACAATCTACCCCAACCTGCTCAGACAGAAGAATTCGATAGTGACTCTGAGACCGAATAGCTAATTTTGATTTTTGTGATTTAATGTGATATATTTTCCGTTTTACTTTGTTAAACACTAATCAAAAATGAGGTAAGAATTAAAAATTCGAAATGGATTTTTGGGGGTATTATTTTCCAGGTTTTTGCTTAATAAATGATCAGACAGGTTTCCTTTAATGATCTATCAACAATTTGATCCCAGTACGTGGACACTGTGCGCTGCCAGTTGTACTTTTTGAGTAAACGTTGACTGTTGACGCCGCAACATATTTCATTTTAAAAAGCTTAAGATATCGATTTTTTGACTATTGTTGTATAACTACAATGTACAAGTATTATATAATTTATATTTCAACCATAATTTATCTTCATATTCAATGATTTTTGTGAATTATCTGTCATCACTTTTCCAGGATTATTATCAAAACTCAATTTACTAAATAGTACCTTTAAGATATATTTGGCGTTTAATCATCAATCCTGAATACCCGCCTGCAGTTTTCCATTGTTAATAGACTGACTTTTTATTAACGGGTGATACTCGTAAAATATCTGTTCCATATATTGGACCGTCGACGAGTCCAACTCGGCGCGCGTCCTGGTAGGTTGTAAACCTACAAACTTTTTACTGTCAGTGTCACCAAGATGTAACTAGGTCGAACGGAGAAATTAGGTCTCACGCGCAGGAATTAGGTCTCCTGCAGGCGCGTGATATATATTAATATATAATATATATATAAATACACTTAAAAGCCGCGAATGCTTGAGACTTACTGGGCCGCGCTCAGCCTGTCATTCCGCCGAATCTCTATTATGTTTATGGACATAATAGCCTGAGGTCCCCAGGTAAGCTTGAGACCTGATTCCTGCGCGTGAGACCTAATTTTTCGTTCGACCTAGTTACATCTTGGTGACAGATAAGTTTACAACCTACCAAAACGCGCGCTGATTTGGACTCCTCGAATATTTGGAACAACTGCATTTTACTTGTAGGTTTACAAGTACTTGACATACGTTGCATGCCACTTTTCGCGCGCGCCGCCGAAGGCGGAATATATTATCTCTGATATTGGGATACGAAACATGTATCAAACAAGTACAACCTACCAGGACGCGCGCCGAGTTGGACGTGGAACAGATATTTTAAGAGTATCACCCGTTAACATTTTACTAGTATCACCCGTTAAAAGTTAAGACTGAACCGGCGCTTTTTCTTTTTGATACATGTTGCATTTCCCTTTGCGCGAAAAAGAGTATGCAACTTGTATCAAACTTCTTTACCTAGCCATTACTAGTCTCTTGTCTGAGTTGTCCCACGTCGCGATCCTCATCGTTTCATTTCATTTAAGAAAATTAAAACAGCGCTGCGGGCTCACAGCGTGGGGCAAAGCTTTTCTCGATCTCACAGCCACTGTTGTGTGTTGGGGAAGCTTGAAAAGAGCGCCGCGCACACAGTACACAGCACAGAGATTGGTGTACTATACCAGGCAAGATACCCCCATTACATAATATTGTAGAGATATAGCGCACGTATTTGAGATATCGTTTCAAAGATCAACATTGGCATGATTGATGATGCGGAGAGCAATCGATGAAAATTGAGACAAGACACAGCTAGGGGAGTTATTTTGACGGATGTTACTCGTCTAAATTTCTTCGAAGTAGCGCGCGCCGCTTTCTTCTCGAAATGTTATGGCCCGACGGCACGAGCTACGAAGTAGCGCGCGCCGGGCCAGATCATTAACAATGGTCAAGAGTTATTTTGACGGATGTTACTCATCTAAATTTCTTCGAAGTAGCGCGCGCCGCTTTCTTCTCGAAATGTCTCGAAATGTCTCGAAAATGCCCGACGGCACGAGCTACGAAGTAGCGCGCGCCGGGCCAGATCATTAACAATGGTCAAGGAGTTATTATGCAGAATTGAATTACACATATTCGTAGGCGAAGCTTGGCTTACATAATGTTACCTGGGGACCAGGCTATTATGTTCATAAAGATTCACCGAAATGACAGGCTGAGCGCCGCCCAGTAAACATAATGCAGCGATTTCATCGGACGAGAGCAACTGTTGGCGACGTTTGACTACAAATGGCAGCATTTGATCGAAAACCTGGTTATCTTGACACACGCTGCAACCCCTTTTGATCGCGCGCGAAGCTGGCCGGGGTGCACGCTTCGCGTGCACGAGAGGTATACAACGTGTAGCAATGGTTATCAGCCCCCCCCCCCCCCCCCTGTGAAGAAAGTTGGATCTATATTGATATTCTATATCCAAATGCCAAAGTTGGATCTATAGAATTAGAAACAGTTCGGTATGTTTTTCTTAGCGATATCAGATACCTTACTCTGGATTATTACGACGGGTTTATTAACGACCGGTTAAAATATGGCTCGGGAAAAATATGGCGAAATTGCTCAAAACCCACCACATTTTCCCGGTCGCCATTTTACCGGTGTCCAACCTTTCAATTTTAGATCCAAAAATGTTGTCTCAGATGTAAATTTCCTTATTAGAGATAAGCAAGTTTAGTAATTTTTTTCTAAACTTGCTTATCTGCATTGCTAAAACTTGTGAAACAAGTCGAATTATCAATAATTAGGGGGTGCACGATAAAAATAAACTTGCTCGGATTTTTAAAAATTTTGTACCATTGTTTTCTATCTACTAGAGACTGTGAGAATTTTCACAATACCAAATTTTTCATACCTTTTTGGAAAGATCAGTGAGTTTCGCCTAGGTGCCATATTTGATGGTGCGCGGCTTTTGGAACAAAAGTAGCTGTAAAAGTCGCGTAATTTGACCAAATTTGACCAAATTCGTTGATTTTTGTCGTATTAATTGGATATATCTTTGATCTTCGGTTCCTTGAATGAGATCATTCTGAAAATTGGCGACGACCTTCCAATAGGGCTTTCACAACTGTCCGAAAAATTTGGTGGATATCGGAGTTGATATAGTGATGAAAATGGGGCAAAATGCGCTGCTTTTAGCTGTAACATAACGTCTGATGGTTGGATATGCTTTAAATTTTTCGGACACTTTCCTTGTAAGTCAATGAGTAAGCTAACCAATTTTTGTTGCAATCGGAGGTCGGGAAGTATACTGATACTGAATATCTATTTGTTTGAAGAAAATTGTGCTGGCCGAAATTAGCGCTAAAAACCATCCTACAGTCGGCACGCGCGGCTTACTGTCGATGGCGCACTACCTACAATAATTGTTGAAAGTAGACTCTAGCAAATTGTTTTTTTGAATTAGCATTAAATGTTTACGTGTATCAAATAACCTTGATTGACGATGTCCATCCGTCGAGATCGTTGCTCTGCGAAGCAGAGCAACGATCTACGACGATGCGAAGCAAGAATGCTAGTTCGCGCGGCGCGTCGAAGCGGCGAAGTCCTCCAACAAATAACCATTATGACTCAATTTGTAGAAAATCTTCGAAAGAATGCATCGTTCACATTGTTTAGAATTATGAATAAATGACTGATGAAACTGATTCATGTTATTGACAGTTTTAATTAATTCAAGTTTTAATTTAACTGTTACTTTTACTTTGAGTCCTATTTCATTATTATATTGTTATATGTAGAGATAGTCAATACCTAAGAAATTAACAAGAATTGCGCCCGTTGTTTCGTTTTGGCGGACGCTAGATTTCCATTTCACATTTACTATAAATTTAAGTATAAGCTCCAATCAGCTCACTTCAATCTTCATAATATTAATAGTATTGATAAATTATGCATCAAATACGGGGAAAAATTCAGTTCAATTGCCGTAGAACTTAACTTGTATCTGTAAATCAAGAAATGATCAGCAAAGGTAAACTATACTCGTGTACAAATCAATACACTACGCATGCCACTTACAAATTTATTGGGCGTATTACCTAATAGTAATATTATACATTACATGCATCATATACATTAAAACACAGTCGTGCCGCGCATTCATAGATCACAGGCTATCTATACATCACATCTCCGCAAGCAATCCTCGCGCGCGCGCAACTTTTTCGTTGCTTGGTAACGGACGGAAAGAACACGACATACTCAGACCCACCTACTGCAATCAAAAATTGGCCTATTTAAATCAACTTTGACAATAAGGATATATGACAAGAATTGGGCAAAAAGGTGAATTTTTTGCAATTTTAGCCAAATGAATTCGAAAAACCTACAACAAGTGTCCCAATAGTCTTCTTTAGTGAATATAAGACAACGATTAAAATATGAGCACCCGTACCCCTTGGGAACCCTAAAAGCTGAGACGGCGGGTTTATTAACGACCGGTGAAAATGTGGTTCGGGAAAAATATGGCGAAATTACCCTAAACCCGCCACTTTATCCCGGTCATAATAATCCCGAGTAAGGTATACATAAAATTTTTCGCAATTAATGGGAAAAATCGCGATTCCGTACATGCCGCGATTTCCTTTTGTCCCTGACGCGGCAAGTGCTACGAAGTAGCGCGCGCCGGGCAAGACCATTAACAATGGTCAATATCAGGCCGCGCAAACACCCTCACTAAGTTCGGGCGTTATCATGCGCGGCCCTCAGATTACCTGAGGACCCCAGGCTATTATGTTCATTAACATAAAGATTTGGCGGAATGACAGGCTGAGCGCGGCCCAGTAACCCTCAGAGCGCGAGAGTATTATTGCGTTATAACCTACCAGGACGAGCGCCGAGTTGGACTCGTCGACGGTCCTGATAACAAATATTTTACGAGTATTACCCGTTCGTTAAGGAATGATCAGTGAGTTTCGCCTAGGTGCCATATTTTATAGTGCGCGTAAAAGTCGCGTAATTTGACAAAATTATATTTGTTGATTTTTGTCGTATTATTCTGTCATATCTTCGGTTCTTAATTAAATTAAATGAGATCATTCTGAAAATTTGTGAAGACCTTCCGATAAGGCTCTTACAACTGTCTTGGAGGACTTCGCCGCTTCGACGCGCCGCGCAAACTAGCATTCTTGCTTCGTCGATCGTTGCTCTGCTTCGCAGAGCAACGATCTCGATGGGTTGACACCGTCAATCAAACAACTGTCCGAAAAATTTGGCGGATGTTGAAGTTGATATTAAAATTCAATGATATAGTGATGAAAATGGAGCAAAATACGCTGCTTTTAGCTGTAACTTTTTGGACAGTTTCCTTGTAAATCTATAAATAAGCTAAGCTAACCAATTTTTGTTAAAATTGGATCAAGGGAAAGTTACTAAATACGCATTTGTTTCAGGAATTTTGTGCTGGCCGAAATTAGCGCTAAAAACCATCCTACAATCGGCACTTGTAGGTTTACAACCTACCACCACCAGGACGCGCGCCGAGTTGGAACAAATATTTCACGAGTATCACCCGTTAAAATCGGCACGCGCGGCTCACTGTCGATGTTTGATGTTAACGGGTGATACTCGTAAAATATCTGTTCCATATACCGTCAACGAGTCCAACTCGGCGCGCGTCCTGGTAGGTTGTAAACCTACAATGCACTAGTAGCCACTAAATCGCTCGCCCAAATTTTGTAAAATTCTAGTTAAAAGGCCCTGAATACTGAAAGGTACGAAAGTAATAGTAATACAATTCAGTGTATTTTAGGCCAGGACGCTGATTCTGAATCACGCTCCAGGCCCATGACGTATGCAGTAGGGTAAAATTGTTTTCCTGCATGGAGGGTTATGGGCAAAAAACCAGCAAATTGTAGGTTTATAACTTGGAGGGCTTCGCCGCTTCGACGCGCCGCGCGAACTAGCATTCTTGCTTCGCATCGTCGATCGTTGCTCTGCTTCGCAGAGCAACGATCTCGATGGGTTGACATCGTCAATCAAGTTTATAACCTATCAGGACGCGCGCCGAGTTGGACTCGTCGACGGTCTAATATTTGAAACAAATATTGTACGAGTATATTACCCGTTAAGCTATGTCATTGTCATGTTATAGGCGCCAAATTTGAAATTATCCATTTTTCGTCAATTTTACACACTTGCAACTTATTTGTGCTGCACGCGCTACGGTGAATTTGTATTACTATTATTCACACTTAGAGGCAACTATTATACTGTGTATTGGTACCAAATTTATCAAAATCGGAGACAACGAATCTGTGCCAACTCATAGCGCTTATTTACTGGGCCGCGCTCAGCCTGTCATTCCGCCTAATCTCTATCTTTATGAACATAATAGCCTGAGGTCCCCAGGTAAAGCGCTTATTAATATTACATAGAGTTAGACTATGATATTGTCCTATTTAAGATGTTCATTTATGTTCTATTTTTGATTTGAATAAAGTTATATAAATATAATATAATTATTATGTTTTAGTTGTCATCTTATACATATTATACTTATAGTGCAATATATTTAAATGACCATGGCTCAATGACCAGACGCGATCATGCATGCAATATAAGTATAACCTATGGCCATGTTTCGTAAATTTGACCCAGTCAAACTGGCTATCAAAGATATGTTTATATCGAATCCGATCTCCGCTACAGTGCACAGGATAAGATCGCGCACTGGTGAAATCGATTTATTAGCCCACAGCCAGCAGGTCAGTTGCAAGTTGAATTTGATAGAACAAACTTGAAATACCGAATACGTTTACTACTTTGCTTTTCTCATCTTTAGTTCTAGGTATCTTACATTAATTTGACGCTGAACATTGGTATATTTACTTTTTTTACTGTTTACTCATCAAAGCTTAAACTTGAATGCTGTTTGTCCAACAGTTTGAGTTACAGTTCACCAATTCTTTGCGATTAAGTTTGACCAACTGTCGCCAGATAATGGTAGTCCTCAGATCACCAATCTAATTCCGATAATGTTATTGATCATTAACGTTGATTGATCCGTCTTGAAGTCTCGACTACGGTCAATAATTTACTTCTGATAGGATCGGTCCTTTAAGTTTAACATGTTACAATTTTCGAGTAACCGTTTCGTGATTATCGTTAAATTCCCGTTCGAATCTCAGTCAAATATTATACTTTCTGCCTCTAAATACTGAAGACGAAGTTGCAGAACATATTTCCGAGCGCATTTAGACAACCCTTTAAACGATAGGAAACTGGATCTTATCCTGTATCCGAATAGTTCATGACAGATTACTTAGGATTCCAAACAGTTACAGCCCGGCCTACGTCGACACAGGTCTCCTAATTACTCCGTTTCTCCGAGTAGATGGGTACCAGGCAGGGCCACGGTAGCAGAGCCGTTTTATTATGCTACTCCTTGACTTTTGTGTGCCGGTATCCAGAGTGTTAGCGGTGTCCATGGTAACGGCATATTTAACCGCTCTCATGTCCGCAACGTAGCAAATAATTAGGAGGTAGCTTAAGGGTAATTACAGGGTTTATCGAGCTGAAGCAAAATATAGAAGGCTAATGTTGGTCTCATCACATGTTAGATGAGCGGGTAACAAGGAAGTACTGATAGTCGTTTATCGCATTCTCTTGCGCCCATTAGCATTGTCTTCCTCTAGGCTTGCCTATTCTGTATTCAGATTTCTTTTATCAGTTCCCTTTGTTTGTCTATCGATACAGGTTTTTGATTGGGTCGCCATGTTCAGTAAATCCGGTAAAGAGAACCCCAGACAACTGTACAGCACTTCAAGCCGGAACAGTTCTGCTCGGAACAGTGGCAGACACCTCCCCCTACCAGACGACGTGGCAGTGAGCGCCAACAAGGAGGCCGCAGAGCAAACTACTCGCATGAGAAAGTTTCTGGAATCTACTAAAAACTTCTTGCAAAGTCAGAGCCAAGCTGCCAATCTTCACATCACCCTGAACGAAGTTAGAGGTAAAGATAGGCAGGACAAGTTGACTCGAAGAGCCTCCAACTCCTCTAACGATTCCAGTGGTGGAACAGGCGCCCCTAACAGCATGAGTCGGAAAGCTGGCAGGAGAACATCCTGCCTCTTCAACCCGAGCGAGAGAAAGGTCCTGCATCCTGTTACCCTGAGTATCGATCAGATTTCTGAGTACGAGCACGCTTTCAGAAAGTACGACCAGAACGGGGACGGAGTGATCTCGGTGGCAGAGCTGAGTTTCCTCCTGGAGACCATCAGCCTGAAGCCCTCAGAGGAAGAAGTGGTGGAGATGATCGCTACTGTGGACGCTGACAGGGATGGTGTTCTGAGCATGTCGGAGTTCGTGAAGCTCATGTCCCGGCACCACAATCCCGCGGTAACACCTCAGCAGCAGTACGAGGCTATCTTCAAGGTGTTCGATGCTGATGGTAACGGCTATATCAGCAGATCTGAATTTAAAGACACCTTGTTCAGCATTGGACAGCGGTGCTCGGAGGAGGAGTTGAATGCACTGGTTGACGAGATAGATCTGAACAGAGATGGAATTATTAGCAAGAGGGAGTTTTTGAGAGTGTTTCTTAACCATCCCACTGTTGCAAGTCTTGACAAGATGCAGGACTGAAGGAGTGTAGTGATCATAGGAATAGTATATATTATATTACTGCACATTATACTTATAGCTTTTAGAAATTCATGTTTTTTTCCCAGATAAAATTAAATAAAAGTTTACCCGTAACCTTTGTGATCAGTATCTGAAGCTATTTCATCCTTTCAGAAACTGAAGGCTCTTTCCACTTAAAAGCATAATGAAAGGCTCAGATAATATTTTCCATATCCAATATCTGGACAATTTGAACGAGAAGAAAATGTTATGGTTATGAAAGATTGTTTAAACTTAAAGTGTTACGTATCATTTATTGTCATAATTATTTTTGTTATACTTTTAAATTTTGATACCACTGTGTTACTGACTATTCGTGATATTAGTTATATGGGGGTAGTTCACATATTACATAATCAGCTGGGGGGGGGGGGGGGGGGGGGGGGGGGGGGGTTTCCTGAATGATTAAGCTAGTGTAATTTTGACACAATAGCTATGAGTAATGTATAAAACTGATTACGGAGGGAGGGGGGGGGGGGGGGGGGGTAAAAATGTTCCAAAAAATGATTACGTAATATAATGTGAACGACCCCTAATGTTAATAAGACATGGTACAACTTCGATAATTCAAAATAGCAAACTAATCAAATATAAATACAGCTTAGAAACTTATTTATACTGTTAATACAATCTTGCATGGTTTTATAATCATATATACTACAACTAAACGAAAACGTAACAAAACAAAAGCACATTGAGAAACATTCAGCCCTGTGAGTTTGTTCACTGTGCTGCACAATATCTTTATCACTAGAAGAGGGTTATACCTGTACAGATAGGATCTCAACTTTGGTAGAGGGGCTAAAGTCAGGTGATGTTCTAAGTTTTGACTCTTTCGATACAAATAAAATTTAAAATTTGTAAAGATCTAAACGTTCAGATCAGAATCCATTCTAGACTGATATAATTCCAAGGTGACTGAAATTTTGGGTCACGCAGAAGAAATGTGCCACAACTTGGGAGTTTTTCACTGAACTTACAGAATTAGGTCTAACAAGTTACGGTTTAATTATTTAAAATAAAAAGTATTTCTGAAGTTCATAATATAACCCACTCCTACGACTGTTAATAGTAAATCTAACGGATAAAAACTTGTTTCTGAACTAAAGTCTGATCTAAAAGTTGAAACAATGAAGTTAAAGAAATTTAGTCATGATCATTTAAAATAAAATTTTGATAAAACTGTATGACCAACATGAACAGTGCACTAAATAATTTAATAATGATTAAATTAATGCATCGGAACATGCTAGTTAATGTGTAAGTACAACAGTAACATAATTTCTATTAACGACTTCTTTTCTGGGATAAATCAATCATCTTATTTAAAACAAACTACAGAGTGGCCACGAATTAATAAACGATCCTAAACACCGGTAATCTAAGCAGAGGAAAAGTTGCTCAGACAAGATACTCTACAACAGTTCAACCTACTCTACTTAATATTGCGTTAGTTATGGGCCACTTCGTATTATACGTACGATTGATTCGAAAATTCTGAATACAAATAATCAACATTTGATGAGGAATCATAAACACTGCGTCAAATCAAATTAGAAAATAAAAATTACTGATTATGGCAAATTTTACAGGGAATGATGGAATGAGTATAATTTGAAAATCCTGATTACCATGCCCAATAGATCTGGAGACTGGTGGGAAGATGAACTATATGTTTTCGAAACACGTGACAGCAATTTACCAATCAGCTTCCAGCATTGACCATTCCGAACCCAGCATCTCTGTCACGTGCCCCAACAAATACAGTTCCCAAACAGTATGCTGATCTATGAACTGATGTAAATTCAGTAATGTTTAATTCAAACTTGATCGTCATCTCTATATTGCTATACTTCGGCAGTGAAATAGACGTTAGGGTTTGATATGACTTTGCCGTAAGGTAAAGAAGTGACAAAGGAACCAGATACGATGGCGAGGTTTATGTCTTTAGGCCCGGGCATTGTGAGTAGATATGATGAGAGACCGTACTTTTCTTCTGCTAATGGTTCTATTCCTAGAGGGCGTACCTGAAAAAAAAACATGAATCAATTTGGTGTTTTAATTTTAACACATCAGCTATAGTCATTTGTTTATGAAATTTCGACGAATAGTTGATTCTCATGACCATGATTTTAAGCAGTACACGCGGCAATTTAATATTAAAATCATCAAAATTCGACTGACCTCGAATATTCTTCCTGGTGCGGGGGAATTTGGGTCTTTAAAGAGAACTTTGTGGGTTTTGAAAGGTCTAAGTGCTCTTTCTTGAAGTTGAATCTCTAAGTTCCTCTGAGTTCGGTATTGGGAGTACCGTATCTTAGCTGAAATAAGTGCTGTCACTTTTACCATTATAGTACATGTTCGATACTCAAAATGTCTGCAAGCATGCACTTGACTAAACCTAAAGAATCTTTAGGCTCTTCATCTTTAGTAAATATGAAGAACGTACGTTGAAAAGCTGGGCAGAGCACGGGATGACCACACATATCCCTGCTGCCTACCATCACATACTGCTGCCTACCATCACATACTGCTGCCTACCATCACATACTGCTGCCTACCATCACATGAGTGAGAGTCATCTCCATTCTCCAGGCAATAATGGAACTTAGTACAGACAGATCCGTCTAAAAAAATCGATCTGCTGACACTCAAAGCTTTCAGAGGTTTTTTGACGTTTTTGAGTCCCATTAGGTGCCCTTTATGGCTGACCAACTTTTCCAAACTTTTCCACTTGTCTTAAGGCCACTTTTTGCCACTTTACCACTTTTTACCACCTTTTTTGTTTGTCGGATATCTTTAGTTGTGAACATCGTAAAAGGTTGCGGATCAATCGAGTGTGTTCATATTATCAGGAAGAAAAACTTTTGTTCAAACAATTTTTACGTCAGATAATAAGTTAATTGGATAATTATCAATTAACTAATTAGCAAAATTCTAAAAAATTTTTATTGGCTAAAAATGATCGGAATAGCTTAAAACACGGATAAAAGTAGTTTTTAGAAAAAATTTTAAAATTTTTCACTTACATTTTTTTTCGAGACTTGGAAAAAATTTCCGCCAAAAGTGATCAAATCGCATGAAACACGGATAAAAATGCCTTTCTAAAAAACGTAGTGAATTTTTCGTTTCAAGAATACTTAAATCGCCAATATTTGTAGTTGGAGTTCAGTAAATCTCGGCAGATTTTAGTAATCAGGAATTAGTATTACTAAGTGAAGAGGTCTGAAACTGAAAAACGTTAACCATACGATCGCGCGGCAATATAAGAGTTTCATAAACTAATTTTCACAGAAACTGCACCAATGGCACAGTCAAGATCGAAACGATAGCCTGCTGTACTGTCATTTTATTGATTTCAATGATGAATCAGTGGGGTTAAGATAATCACATTTGTAATAAAATATAAATAAAACATCTCTGTACCGTCAATTGTGCTAGTCTAAACCAGCCTACCTGTATTACCAGACCTCTTCTTTTCCTCGACAATCAAACCAAGTTGCTCATATGAGTCATATCGCATTTGGTGGGTGATGTAAGTAGTAATACATATCGAGCTGTATTCAATCACAAAACGACACAATGCAATACGTGTATATTATATTATGGCCCTTAATGAGGTATATGAAACGTTCTATATCGTACACTTCTCGTTTCTCCCGTGAGAGGCCCAGTATGGAGAGGTTTTACAGTTTATCACGAAAACGTCTACTTGGCCTCATGGCTCAAAGAAGGCAAGAAAAGACCAGAAAGCTTTCAACTCGCTCTTTTCAATGCCCGTCCATCTGTCCCACATTAATCCTGAGCTGATCATCATAGCCCCGAATATCCTACGGGAAGAACCTGTATTTTTATCTCACGACGTCCGGATTTCAAATCAACACCCTCAATAACATTAACAATCCTTCCTGATCAGAATCTGTCTCTATTAGCAATTTCCAAAATATCCTGACTCTCGTGGAATATTTCACTGAATTATTTATTACCGGTTCTTTACTACCCCTTGCCCGTCACTCGTATCTACATCTTACCCTTGCCAGTATGTTACCCTTGCTGATTTTACGTTTAGCCGACCCTGACATATGGGGGTGATTTGAGGTATCCAGCATAGCAAATGAAGCGGTATGCAGAACAATACAAAACAAGTCACAGTTGATGTTGGAAGGTGTATTTACACTTGCTTTCTGGATCTGGCTGTTCCTTAGTTTCCTTGGTCTGTTCTTGCCTTCTTCGAACTGTAAATGAGCCATGTAATGAGGCCAAGTATACTTTTTCGTGATAAACATTAAAACGTCTCTATACCGGGTTTCTCATTAAGAGCCATATAATATACACGTATTGTGTCGTATTCTGATTGAATACAGCTCGTTATGTATAAGTTTCAATACCTACAACACTACTATATAACAAATAATTTGAATGACAGGATGGATTACTGAGGGCACTGTGTTAAAGTGATTTGAATGACAGGATGGATTACCGAGGGCACTGTGTTAAGGTGATTTAAGTGGGTCCCAATCCCCACCGACCATTCTTCTTTGTGTCATGAATACTTGCTTCATCATCTCCTTTTAATAAAAATCACGGTGTCTTTATTGAATAAGCGCATTACTACTTACATCACCCACCAAATGCGATATGAGCAACTTGGTTTGATTGTCGAGGAAAAGAAGAGGTCTGGTAATACAGGTAGGCTGGTTTAGACTAGCACAATTGACGGTACAGAGATGTTTTATTTATATTTTATTACAAATGTGATTATCTTAACCCCACTGATTCATCATTGAAATCAATAAAATGACAGTACAGCAGGCTATCGTTTCGATCTTGACTGTGCCATTGGTGCAGTTTCTGTGAAAATTAGTTTATGAAACTCTTATATTGCCGCGCGATCGTATGGTTAACGTTTTTCAGTTTCAGACCTCTTCACTTAGTAATACTAATTCCTGATTACTAAAATCTGCCGAGATTTACTGAACTCCAACTACAAATATTGGCGATTTAAGTATTCTTGAAACGAAAAATTCACTACGTTTTTTAGAAAGGCATTTTTATCCGTGTTTCATGCGATTTGATCACTTTTGGCGGAAATTTTTTCCAAGTCTCGAAAAAAAATGTAAGTGAAAAATTTTAAAATTTTTTCTAAAAACTACTTTTATCCGTGTTTTAAGCTATTTCGATCATTTTTAGCCAATAAAAATTTTTTAGAATTTTGCTAATTAGTTAATTGATAATTATCCAATCAACTTATTATCTGACGTAAAAATTGTTTGAACAAAAGTTTTTCTTCCTGATAATATGAACACACTCGATTGATCCGCAACCTTTTACGATGTTCACAACTAAAGATATTCGGCAAACAAAAAAGGTGGTAAAAAGTGGTAAAGTGGCAAAAAGTGGCCTTAAGACAAGTGGAAAAGTTTGGAAAAGTTGGTCAGCCATAAAGGGCACCTAATGGGACTCAAAAACGTCAAAAAACCTCTGAAAGCTTTGAGTGTCAGCAGATCGATTTTTTTAGACGGATCTGTCTGTACTAACTAGTTTCCTGACTTTCTTACCTTTTTAATTTCATATGGGATCATAGCGATACACATTCAACGTAATACAGTAAAGTTCACCAAAGTTAATCTTATTAAGATTGCAATGCAATATTTAAAAAATAAAAGCACCTGTCCATGCTAAGAGGAATATTAGGAGGAGGATGACAATGCAGGAGGAGAAAATAATAAAGAACTGCTTCAGATCGATCTGGTTGCTAGCCTGGTGCACCTGAAATAAAAACAATAATTAGCAAATATATACAGCAAAACCCTGATTTACCGTACCCCTTCCCTTTCCACCAAAGCTTTGGGAAAATGTGTAAATATTTAGTTTGATATTATATAGTAATAGTACTATGTTTGATATCGCGTGATCTTATAAAATACAGCTTACTAACGTGTCCCTTATGCCAAGCAAGGTTTTCGGGCTCAAGGCTCGTTACTTCCCCCATTATATAAAGTGCTTGTGAAATAAAACCCCTAATGAAGAACCAGTATTGAGCGGACAGAAACCATGTGAATTGCGATCCGACTGTGATTCAAAAATCAGATTTTTTTCTTTCCTCAAACTACACGGTAAATCGTGGTTTTACTGTATATATTATATATACTCAATTTGCGTTTTTAAAAAGCCTATTATGTTCCATGTTTGAGTTGGTAAACAGTAGTGGTTCAGCAGACTACTAAATGGCTCCTAATTCTCACTGACTCTTGTTATCACGTTTATCGGTTTATGGTCTATTTTTTTGCGGCTCATGGTCATTTCAAGTCTAGTGACCTTACTTAACACTACTAGATAACCTAAAAGCAGATACTGGGCTGACGACAGTAGATGAGATAGCTAGACTGATGGAGGACAGAAAGATGTGGAGAACTGGATCTCAGGAACACTACCTGCCTTAAGCCAAGTCAGTAAGTCATGGTCATTTCAACCTTCTGTATAATAAACCTTGTGAACATGTGATAACTTATGTCAGACGAGGTTATCAGGTAATCGGCTTTATGGAAACGACCATCTGCAAAATGTTTTGTCGTGAATGATGGCCTTTACATATAAATATTACTGTGTTTATGTCATGCTATGGTTAAGAGGATGGGACATAACAAATTGTTTACAATTGACACAATATTATAATAACTCTATCAAGGGAAATTAACATTTAATCTCTGTTGCCAATATCCTTTAAAACCGTTGGCTAAGAAGCAAACTTATTTTCCATCCACATTTAACATTGTATCATTATACTAAGGTAATTAAGGCATTAAACCCGTCATTCGTCGTTCTACACAAATAGAAGTAAGATTATGCTATAATTGCTATAATTGTTCTAATTGACCTCCCCCTCCACAAGCTGCTAGTGCTCACTACAATCATATGAACACAGCACCGACCACCACCTCCCTAGGAATATCACTACTCAATGCCATGTCCCAAGGTTAAATTAAATTGTACTAATAATCTACTAATTAATCTACTAATCTACCAAAGCAGGCCCATCGGTGGTTTACTAATAGTCAAACACGGAGAAGGCATTTTAGTGTCACCCTTGCTTCTAGGTATCTTGGTGATTTATCTATTGTTTTCTCTATTTGGACAACACAAACGACACATTTGACTGCCGGTACAGAAACCCAACATTGCGTCCACGAGCCATTTGCATGATAAGGGGTCGTATTACGTAATCGAGGGGGGAGGGGGGGTTTCCAAATGATAACACTAGCGTAATTTTGACACAATAGCTATGTGTAAAACTGATTACGGAGGAGGAGGGGGAGGGGGTCCAAAAAGTGATTAAGTGATATGTGAATGACCCCGGTCTAAGCAATTACAAAAGATAGGTTAATCAGATAGACATCATTCATGAACTATCAAATGTTTTCCACAAATGTTTGATTTATTTCTCACTATTCTATAAGATCGTGTTTTCAAAAAATAAATCACCTTAAATTTTCTCATAACAAGAGACATATTATACAAAATAGAGGAACCATTAAGTATTAACCAAGGCAATTTCGGTGCTGAAGCTGCTAATAAAACAACTCCAAGAAGAACAACCAGATTTGAGGCGCCCAGTATTTATCTAAAATTAAAAAAGGAATAATCTGACGTGAGTTTCAAAGAATAAAGTAATACTAATACTGGACCACTTACTCGCTCAGGATTTGACTATTATATTAATTTAAAATTTGTGTCGACGACTCGACTGTGCTGCATAAATTACGTCTTTGATCTTTGACGCAACCTTTGGTAGAATCGACCAACGAAAACTCAAGCATTAAAAAACCCCCGCCACTTCTGTGCTAACAAACCCCAACTTTACCCACTTCTGTGCTAACAAACCCCAACTTTACCCGATTAATACGGATGGTTCTTCAGCATTTAAGGTTTTCTACCATTCCTTATCTTTAGAGTTGAGTTCTAACCTCTATCCTAAGAGTTCGCACATCTCCAGGCCTGTAGTTTTTGAACTCCAAGTAGAGTCTCAGCTCTGCAGCCCGCAAGTCCCAGTCATATCTTGACTTCTTAAAGGTGTTAGCCCAACTCCTTTGTATCGTCTTTTCCCTCTGTAACATTTAGCTTTTATTAGAATCATGACTACGATACCACAGATTTATAAGTAGTCAAGGCAGCTCTTACGCTTTGATTAGGAACCAGGATTCATTATTCTGAACAACAAACAAACAGTCGTGTTAAATTTGGGTACAAATTGTTAGTAACAACATATTGTCAACATGTCAAGTATTACAGGCATTTACAGGTCAAGTATTACAAGTCAAGTATTACAGTCAGATCCCTATTAGAAGACAAACTACCACACACAACAGAGGTATTGTGGAATGTGGGGTATTACAAATGAAGAATGCTTTAGGCAGCAGCAGTAAATAATGCTACTATTAGCGGATCATGGCTAAGTTTAAAATTATGAATAATTTAGATAAAGATTTTCAGGCAACAATAAGATGAGAATTCAATTCCATATTTTTAAGTGCAAGATTTTCGAACATCGATGACCTCCAGCTTTTATGATAAGTCAGTCTATGATTTTATTTATTATGGGTAAAGTGTTTTTTTGGTCATAATATAACACCACATTTTCCGTCCAAGTTCCCAAGCAGCCCACTATAAAAAGAGTGCTGTTAAGAAAATGGCAAGGTACCCACAATTAATTCTTCCAGGAAGGTAACTTCCTTGTCGCGAGCTAAATGAGAGGTTATTTTTCGTGGCATTGGTTCGAAGACTGTCATGTCCTGTCTTTCTGGTGTCTGTTGTTTGGGTGAAGGAGCAGGGGGTTGCTTGGCGAGATACTATGCGAAATACTATCAGTCTCGTGGTTTAATCAAAAAGTTATGCTAAATTTACAGTGTCATTTCAAAGCATCACTTTTGACAAAAATAATTTTGGTGAAGTGTTGTCGGTACATACGTTATAGGTGTTGTACGAGTTGCCGAGGTAAAACATAGTTGTGTTCAAATTAAACTCAGTGTAGTTGGAGGAGGAGAAGGTGACTACTATCTCTATCATCACATCCTCTGTAATGCTCGCATTTAACTTCGTCATAAAGTTCACCTGAAAGGAAAAGTCTTCTTTATCTTGCTTTTTCTACGAACTGGTTGTAGTCATTTCGGAAATGAATGATATGATGAACATGGTCAAGTGCAGTGAGGCGAAGCCGATAGAAATATAATCACAAACTCCGCCGAGAGATGTGATAAGAAGTTAGAAGCATCTGTGGTTTTTCTACTTTTAAAGTAACATTCTGACTTGAAAACAATATTACCTTGCTGGTGGTAACGGTCGTAGAGTGAGTGAAACCGCCTGCATTCAACAGACGAAAACATGTTCCACCGTCTTTCTTCGGATCCCCTTCGTATCCTAATTAAGATAATAAGGTTAAGAAGGTTTCTTCCCGAAATATCAAGCAAAATTGCTGATCTTATAATATTCGGGCGTAATAATTATATGCATTCAAGAGAAAATATCAAGCACACGAGGAGGATAAAAATAGACCCGCGAGCCCTGAACGAGCACATTTCAAGCAAAACCTAAAATTACCAATCTGAAGAATTTAAATTACCCTTAATGCAGGTGTCACAGCCGGTTCCCCCAACTCCCATTGTGTTACACTTGCATCTACCAGACAAGTTGTTACAGAAAGGCTCAGAGTGCTCACTGCAGTGGCAAGGCTTGCAGAGTCCCTTGTTTGTAGCGTCACCATAGTAACCGTCTACACAGCTATCGCAGTTTTTACCTGAAATTAGAAAGAATGTCAACCGTTAAGCGATTAGCCGGAAAAGCTTTGTTTATGCTTTGTCAGAAAACCATATATTATGGGCCGTATTTTTCATCCAATTTTTGTCCATTTGACCGCAGGAAAGTGATTGTGGTCGCCACAAAGGGAATTATATACATATTTCATATACAAAGTTACGTTACTGCTCACAGCACTGTACGATTGTTAACTGAAAATTGGATTTCCGACCTCCGCGGTTATGTTTCAGAAAGTCTAGAAAATCATTTTAAATGAGCACCAGTTTTTCACAGCCGTTAAAATAGTTGTCAAAACAATCTAATTTAACACCCATACGCACGAAAACTCCGAAAATCTACCATCCACAATTTAAAGTTATAGTTATTATATTAGCTACTGTCCTAATTGTTTTTGTATTTAAAGCTATATACAATCACGTGATTAGATGGTACGTGCGTGCGCGTCTCCTGTATATCACGATATATTGACTAGCGCCTTACATTAACGACATCAAAAATACACACAGCGGTTGATGTTTTCTTCTCAGAATTGTAAGCGAATGTCGCCCCGGTTCAGATGCAAAATTAGCGCAAAAGTCAGGTCCGTGCGCAAATGTTACAATTTCGCCAGAACACCTCTAACCTGCAGTCTCATGAGATTTTGGCGCTGATAAAAATTTTTCGGCAACCAAATATTGAACAGATAAACTTTCATAGTCCAGGCAAGCAAATTACCGACATGGATCAAATATGAGTTGTTAGAATTTAGATTTCTGCAATACATTGTTACAGTTCGGATGAAAAATATTGCTTCAGACCGAATTCGAACCCGGACCTTCTGCATGCGAGGTGATAATCTTGCCAATGGAGCGACATTTGCTTCCAATTCTGAGAAATAAACTATGGGCGACAATTTTTCAACAATTTTGCTAGAAAACCTCCCCAAATACATAAGGTCCAATATACCCACTACGTTACACCAACGTCTGTACGCAACAAATTTATCCCTGGGTTCTCCTACTCAAAGTAAGTATTTGGAGGATTGGAAAACATCCAGCACTAGCAATATACACTAGACAGACTAGAAACGTGAAATTGAAGATATAAAGTCACATGAGTCGTGAGCAAGTGACTCGATCAATAATTATTGCTATTGTAGTTGTACTACCAACAAAAGGGCATGGCTTCAACCATGACACGTGACACTGCAATTATCCAACCATGACACGTGACACTGCAATTATCCACAAACCTCGAGTGTCCCCCTGGCACTGATCACAGTGGACGTTGTCCGTACAGTTACTGTGTCCGTTACACTGGCAAAGTGGGCAGGATTCGTAAAACCAACTCTTCTCTGGACAAATCTGACAAATATCATATTATGTATTAAATCTATTGAACAAGAAAAGTAGTATATTAAAGTAGCGGAAATTATAAAATATTAGCACATTTGTAAACGGTTTAATCCTGTATCTAGTTATGAAAATGTAGCTTACATTGGTAACAAGGGGACTATAAAAGGTTCCAGAATGGCAAGAACCAGTGCCTGTACCACTACCGTCATCACACCAGCCACACTCCGGCTCAGCTTGACACAGGGTGCAGTTACGATGTGCACTGCACGACGCAGCTAGTCGGGGGATAGGGCGTTATAATTCAACATTAAATTTTCAACATTCAACAAAAAAAGTATCAACATGTCAGTTCGGCAATTCCCCACTGGCAAAAAGTGTTCGCTTTTACAATGTGGATGTAACTTAGTAACCGCAAATTGGTTTTGTGGGGTAACAAATTATAAAAATCTTGAATTCGTGTAAAATAATTTACAAATTGATTTCGGGGAATGTAATTATCTTAACCTGGGCATATTGGAGAGCTGTAGGTCATGGTCCACTTGACACACTGCCCGTAGGGATATCTTGCGTGGTATGTTGAAGTATCTAAACACTGACCCTCTCTCCGACCATCTAGCAGATACATATCTTAGTCTAGTAGATACATATCTTAGTCTAGTAGATACATATCTCAGTCTAGTAGATACATATCTTAATCTAGTAGATACATATCTTAATCTAGTAGAGCTACATAATCTCTTAGTTTACTAATATAGAGAGATATTATCTCAAACATGGTATTAATGTTTTTCATACAAAGTTACAACAAAGTCTTCATGTTATGTATCCTGGGTTTGGACAGGATATTACCCGCTTAAAATATTTCCATCGCGTTACATAATACTCAATAAATATAATAGATGTGTAGTGTTGTAATTAGTTTATGTATAGTATTAATTATTATGGTATAATATCTAGAACTACTATTAGGGGTGGGAGAAGTATGGGGTTACACAGAATGAGAGATATTATCGTGACTTCATAAAGTGTTATATATACACTATACAGTTACATCCTAATAAAATATCAATACATGTATCAACATACATGAGGGTATGATCAAATGTATGGGCAGTGATTTTAAGAAAACCATACATTCATTAAAATCATTTTTAAATGATTTCACACCATACTGCATAGTTAATACTATACACCAAAGTAATATAAACGCTTCTCCAAAAACAAAATAGTAAAATATCAACACTCAAGGTTTTAGTCTACAACCACGAAAAGCTGGCCTCTAAATACCCCAGTTTTTAACTTTTTAATGTAATGTTATTGTAATTTCCAGCTTTTCGCAGCCAGCTTTACACCACTGGGATAGAAAATAAAAACAGTACTACTTGTACTGACCTGGATAGAGTTTATCAAGTTGGCACCACATACAGCTCCTGATCATGTGTTCATTGCCCAGGCACTTGCTACAGGAGGTGGCAGCAGAACACGGTCTGATAGCACTGCAGTCCACTTCTTGTCCTGTGTTAAGGAGCAATAAGTTGTGGGGTATTTGTGGGGGGGGGGGGGGGGTGTTAGAACAATGGTTACTGGGTTGTTGTTTAACGTATTGTGACCTATTAATTGTTCGTCAATTAGTAGAATAACGGGCAGCTAAAACTAACTAAATAACATGTTAACTATAACACTTACTTTCATTCTCAACATTAACACCGCACCTCCTATTCTTAACATCCCACACACACTGCCCCTTACAATGCTCACACAACTTGTACTCCGAGCACTGGATACGACTTGGTTTATTATTCGGCACGTTCCGGCACTTGAACAGGTCATCAAAGCCGGTAGCGTTAACCAGAGCTGTAGGACGGCAGGTATCAGGGTAGTGTTGGTCCCACACGCAGTCCGGCCGGGTCTGGCAGGCGTGACACCGCCGGTCAAACCCGTCCCCTGGGACACACTCCTCGTCACACTTCACTGCGCCACAGTCACCTGGGTTACTACAATTAGATGTTCTGATATTTCGTTCTAAATCACTGCAATATTAGTAAAGCAAGGGTTGGATAATATTTATCATTTATTCTTTAAAAGGATCAGGAGTCAGGTTCGTACTGCAACTCTACTCTATGACGCTCGTGCAAGAAGGCGTGATATCTGCAAACCATTGTAAGCTACATTCCATGTACATTAGACAAACAAAAACAGTTATATTATGCCACAACAATAGGACGAGACTAAAGGGAAGTGATATATACACACACTTCCTACACAACAGATCGAAGTATGAATTATATATTGTTTTAGGCAGACAAACAGAAACTATTAACTTATAATACTATATCATAGGGGAACAAATATAAATGATAGAAAAAATACTAGCAGTTAAGTAAGTACTCAGTAACACTAAGTAACACTAAGTAACACTAAGTAACACTAAGTAACACTAAGTAACACTAATTAACACTAAGTAACTCTAAGTAACACTAAGTAACACTAAGTAACACTAAGTAACACTAAGTAACACTAAGTAACACTAAGTAAGTACTAACTGATGGGAATGGTAAAGCAGTTGCTAGTAGTCTCATTCCATCCGCACTCCGTAAAATCTTCTCTAGCGCTCAAACAACGTGATTTGTTGGTGTGATCCTCACACACGCCTGATAGTTGTGTGATTAATTAATCATTATAATAATATTATTGATTAATATAACTATATAATATTGCATACTCTTCTGGAGTTGACTACTGGTGGGGAGTTGATGCAATTATTTAGAGTAATATTATATCATAGCTAGTAATATTATATCATAGCTCAACATTTATGTGCGACTTATGGAGCAAGATATTATGCTCATAAATCTGTAAATGCTGTATTAAGGAGTGATCTCCGCTTTGCTAGCGTAAATTTACGTCAACTGCCTATTTAAATCTGCTTTGTTGTAATTTTTTTGTAACGTTAGAATAGAAATAAAAATAAAGGTATAACGTAACTAATTGTTTAATTGCTCAGTTGGTTTTCTTTAGCAATTATCTCTTCTAATTATACCAAGTAAAACTAAGAAATTCTTCTGATCACAAAGTATAATGGCTGAATAAATGCTTCAAGAAAATAACTTTTACTAGTTAAATGTTCATAACTTGATAAATTAGAGTATCGTATTATGATAACTTGATAACTCGATATGTTTATAATCGGGTAAATTAGACGCTTTTAAAACTCAACGCAGATGTCTGCAGAATAAAGCGATTGAGGAAATAAAAATTTTCTTGTCCGAAAATATGCTTTTTATGATTTATAAACTCATGATGCATGCTTAATACAAGCATTTATAATGTTATAATTCACCAGAAAAATTCAAAATTAAGTATCGATTTTAATCACGCCTATTTATCCATTTGTAATAAAATGCTCAAATCTTGTAACCCCAGTGAAGACACCATGCTAAGCTCACATTTTAAATATCAAATCAGTGGATTGGGCGATGAACGGATGAACGTTGCGCAATAAACTTGCATTGGACATTTACAATTTGGGCGTTGTTTAAATACGAAGCAACCGTTAAGAGATACCAACCGTTAAGAGATACCAACTTGGGATTGAGTAAATCAAGCATATCTTTCAGCGTATTTAATGACAAATATCTCAATTTTCTGGTGGCCGTTTTCAAAATGAAAAAAAAAAACCTTTTAGTTTTAAACAAATTTTCGAAATGATTGACTGTGACTCAAAAGTCACTCGACAGCCTCTCATTGATCTGATTGAGTTTCGCCTGTTTGTCAGCCATAGTGCCCCTATTCCTGACAACTCCGATGAAGTGGGCCCATCTCGTGAACTCCCCAGGAAATTGAGCCCAGTTCTGGAGTCCTGTTTCGGCTACGTTGTCTGATGGATTAGATGGGTTCCTGACCACAGGGCACATCTTCATTGGGAACATGGCACGTGCAGTCTCACTGTAGTTTGTAGACCATTCCAGACGCAGCTCATGCTTACGTTGGATCATGTCGGTAAGTCTTTGTAACATTACCTCAGACGTGATGAGCAGGTTAGAGGCTCCTTTCTTTACCATGTCTTCGTGAGCCCCAATAACGAGAAGGGACAGTAGCAGACTGCTTGGTCTGTGGAACTGATCCTTCCACAGAATACCATTCCTCCAATGCTTCACCATCCTGATCATATCCTTTATCTTTATCGGCTGTTTTCTGATGAAGTCGGACTCTTTTTCGCAGGCTGCTGAGAGATACCAGATGTAATCCATTGGTCGCTCTTCTTTTATTGTCTGGTACAAGTTTTCAGAACTGTAATCATTGCGCCAATCGTAACAAGGAATCAAATCCACGTCCATGTCTCCAACAGTGAATTGGACTGAGTATTGAGTGGTAGAGATAAGGGTTAACTTTGGAAGAGATTTTTCTGCTTTTGTTAGCATCATTGCAGCATCCTTAAGCAAACTCGCCAGAGCACTTATGATGCTCGGTAGCCATCTAGCATGTCCTGTTTTTGGGAGATCATCACTGTACAGAACCAGATCTATATCTGATCTAGATTTAGTGGCAGTATCGTGGCCTAGAGATCCACCCTTGGCTACTCTAGTCACACGGAACGGTAATCGGGTCTGGCAAAAATCAATAATCTGTTCAATAATTTCACGGTTGTCCTCGTATTTTACAAGCTCAGGACGAACAATGCTTCCTTCAGATAAGTTGACTTGAAGTTTAACCTCCGGTCCGTCTACCGAGAAGTCGGGATGATCACCAACCGATCTCTCGATCATGGAACCCTGTAGTCTGACATCAAGTGGAGCATCTAGAGATCCTTGAAAGGACTGTTTCAGCTGATTCATGGTTAGATAAGAAGAGGTAGAAGACTGAAATGTATCCAAAATATTGGACAGTACAGCATCATTTTCACCACCTCCATCCTGTCGCCGCTCAAACAGATCAGCCAGATTTTCAGGAGGCTGAGATCTGGACGTCTCTCTACCACCAAAGAACAGAACCGGATCTTCACTGAGGTCTTTCAGCAAATCCTTTAAAAAGTTATTTGAAATTATTATGGATACCCTGAGATTTTCTTCGGATGAAGCGGATATTACCTTGCCCTCACTCTCAATCTTCACAAGTTGTTTCTTGCTGTCGCATATATCCGTGGACGCCTTGGGATGTTCCTCGGATACAGTGGACTTTACCTTACCCTCACTCTGACTGTTCTTGAGTTCCTTCTTGTTATCGGATATCTTTGTGGATCCTTTTGAATGTTCCTTTGATCCAGCAGACTTTACCTTGCCCTCACTCTCATTCTTCTTGACCTCTTTGATGTCATTGGATGTCTTCACGGAAGGTTTGGGATGTGCCCCTGATACGGCAGACCCTTGATTTCCCTCGCTCAGAACTTCCATGAATTGTTGTTTGTCATTGGACGCTGATCGAGTAATATTTAGCTTGCGCTGGGTCTGGATCCTTACCAGCTCTTTCTTGTTATTGTTCCCCATATTCTTGTTACTGTTCCCCATATTCTCTAAGATACTCATTTTTTTAGCTAACTTATAACAGTCACGTCAAAACTACATTGTTACAAAAATATCAAGGAAGGAATAAGTGATCGGGTTTGGATATATAGGAGCCGTTCACCGTTGCAACGTTGATGAACACAGATGACTTGTAACTGTAAGGAATTACAGATTACAAAACATAGAACTATAATGTTGGCGATCTTACTATCTCAGTCAAGAACTGATATAACTAAGCGTATGAGAGCTCGGCGTTAAGTATGCACATTGTTAATGTTTTACAATTTCAAATTCGGCAATATCAAAGATGTTGCTCCACGTAAATCAGATAGGGCAGAAGATGTTTTTACTTTTAAATTACTACTCTAGGAATCGGACAACTTGCCCAACTTTCTCAGATTCCCACACACTGTTGCTTGATAAGATGCTTCAAATCGGATTTCCAATGCGCCCAAATTTTAACTGTCCTGTGGAGATCGTTGCAGTTCACATGATATTGATAAACGCGCTAGATACCATTTTACATGAACTGATCCATGGTATTATACTGTTATCTTAGATGCATGTGGTGTTACTAAGAGAGATCGTAGTGGTAAATATGGAATTTTTCACACCTTAAAAAAATTTGTTGAAACTTCCTTGCAACTACTTAAAATAATTTGCCTACTTCCGATAAATCAGACGCTGTCGACGTAAAGATTGGGACAAAACGCAAGCTCCATTACGTCAACCCAAAAACATGTGCAGGATCATTTTACAACAATCAGAATTCTAATTTCGATATTGGTTTTTAACAAGTCTTTTTAAAAACGTGTTGGATCTGAATGACGTCACAACATGTTATGTTACAGATCATTTCAAGTTCCTTATACGCTATGTCGTGCACCTTGATAAGTTATGTATGTATTCGAGGAGCAACACGCGAAGATTCTCGGCTATTCCTATTAATCATCACAATATAATCCTTCATTATGCGATCCAACACAATACTGCACTTCAAGGAAATGATACAATTGCAAAAATAGCACAACAATTGATATGAGATTGATATGAGAGAGGCTACCTTCAAGAAGACTTTTCCGTGAGAGCCTTATTTCGAGAGGAGGCTACACTTGCTCACATAAGGTCTTAAAGCTAGTGTTATTCTTAGCAAATTGTAACCCTCAACCAACTTGAATTAAAACACTAACGTCCTTATCGCATTGACCAAAAAGCGTTATTTGAGTTTTATATCTAGTGTGCCGACTGTGAACCGTACATCATCCTTAATGATATGGTAATTCTAGTGCAATCATAGCTAAATCATATGCTAGATATATCTACTGCACAGTGTGAAGAATACAATTTAGGCGAGCTTAGACCTGAAATTATAGGTCTCAATTTAGTCGATAGAAGGGAAACGTAATCGTTCATTATTATAACTTTTGCCTGACCAATTACTGAATACCATTCAATTACTGAATACCATTCAAATTAATAATTGGGAGCGGATTTCTAATAAAATGAAGAGCAAGCAAACACGTACTAGAGATACAACTTTACACGTTCAACTACTTTATCAAACTTTAAACTGTGGACAAGGCGGTACTGTGAAAATAAGCTTATACCGTACAGATATAAACTGTGTAAAATCGAATATTTGCTATCAATGAAACCTATGACAGTAAACATTAAAGAATAGCATGCAACATCACAAAAATTCATAGTGATCTTGACACGCATTACACTAAGGGTGAACCCCACTGATCACTATGCAATAAACAGATAACAAACTCAAAGGACCAATGCAATCGCGATCATAAAATGCACCGCACGAACAGTTTCCGATTGTTCATTTAAATTTTGTTCATCGTCATTTCCGCTACTAATTCTTGAGATTTTGTAAATAAATCGCAAAGGTGGCGAAAAATAGTTTCACAATTTTCGCCACTACAAAGTAAGTAAGTAAACAGAAGAGCATGCTATCTGAAGTAACGAAGTTGATGTCCGGCGTCACAAATACGCACACTGCACAGAGAACTGAAGAGCTCAGCTGAATATGATAAGAAACCTAGTCCAGCAAAAATATAAAATTGTATGTTTATGATTACTTGCCGATCAAGGCAGTTACAGGAATGTACAGCCAGGACTGATCACATGGCCACCCTTATCTTCAGTAACTGGTAAAGATGGCCGTAAAATTTTCCTAAGTTGGCGTGTTGTTTCTACTGGTATCAATACGGCCGCTTCGATCATAATAGCAAATACCCATGATAATTAGCCGCACCTATAATTAAACTTTTTAATTTCATAGCTTAGTACGTTACCTCTATGTTATACATACGTCCAATAAAACGGTTGTAGAACCTCTAACCGGTCTCAATGGAAGGGAACATTTATCATTTGTGCAAACGTGGTGAAATCCCTTAGTGCATAAGACAGATGCCTGATGAGTGAAGGTGCGTCGCGTGCATTTTATTTATGTTAAACAATTATATGGTAGTTTTGAATGAGTTTGGTACGAAACTCATTCAGTTGGGCAGTTGAAGGGTTTTATTTTTATCTTAGCTTTTGTATGTAGCTTTTTTTGTAAAACAGAAAATGGGCCTTCGAGCAGTATTACCTGGTTTCGTCAATTACTGGTACAAGGACGGTATCCCCCAGCAAGTACCAAGTCTGGCTTTTATTCACATAAAATATTGACAGTACACAGTATCATTGTAAAAACGCACTCATTTTAATGCATAAATTGAAAAACTTTCCTAATCTAGTACCATTGTCTCTCAAGAAAACAATTCCCAAAAGCGCACCATTATTTAATACTAACCCGGATTCTATTCTCACTACACAATGGTCAGAAAAGTATGGTCAACACCCTTACAACAACTCAGTATTTTTTAAAGGTCCATTATTAGCAATAAACCGATATAATGTTGCAGCAACTTCCCCGCCTAGTCTGTATAAAAACTATGCTCATCGATCAGCAAAATGAAAACATTGAAGACGAATGGCCTAATTTCATGTTATTTTGTATAACAGGACTAAGAAAATCAAAGCGTAACATAAACCAAAATGCCGATAATAACCTTGTCTCTACATCTTAGATTATATGCACACACTTATGCACCACTCAATAAACGTCGCATATCTCATCAATTACACTGCCAACATAGGACATTCTTTTTTATCGCCGCGTATTTCAAATCAAGTTACAAATTCTACAAATTTTGAAGTGCTCAGTCTTGTTTTACTTTTCTTATCTTTACCTATTAACCATTGGAAAATAAAACTTTAAGTTGTAAACCTTCATTGCATACTTTACCGGTAGAGTCTAAATTGAATAGTTTGAGATTTCCTTTACATTTTATATTTATGCATGTGCCCCACGGGGATGAATTTCTTATTACCATTGATATTTTTTTTGAGTAAACATTGGCTGGTACTACGGGCCAGTCCCCAACAAAAAAAAATTGAAAAATTATACCAAGTAAAACTAAGATTTTAATCTGATAAGAAAGGTGGAGCAAATGCTTATTGAAATCTGTAGTAAATATTCATAACTTGATAAAATCGAGTATCGTATGATAGCCTGATAATATATAATATATTTTTCAACCGGATATCGACCGTTTTTAAGATTTAACAAAGATTTATTAACTTGTCGTAATGTCTATAGCATGACGCTATTTATAAAGTATCGATCCGGTAGTCCAAAGCAGGCTCTAGCTCTCAACATATAACAATCTCATAATGCTTGCTACATACATTTTCATAATTTACCGAAACATGATCATGATAATTATAATAAAAAATGGATTATATTTTGTTACCTAAAAGCACAATTTCGCATAAAAAGTAACGCAGGAAATGAGCTTTTCCTTGCAAAGCTTACATTTCAATATCATCAAAGCGATGGATTGAACAGTGCAAGTTGCAAAATGGATCTTCAGCATTTGCGCACTTTTTAAACACCGTGCAAACCATCCTATTCAGAAATTGCTGGTAAGGCATAGATATTCGGTCCAATCAGCCTCTAATAAATCGAGTATAACCTCAGTTTATAATGTCTTAAACCGCGGTGGGAGTTTCGCAAATCAAAATGTGAGAAAATATTTATAATTCTGTACATCAGTATTTAAGTCCGTGACTCAAAAATCGCTCGAAAGCCTCTGAACGATTACATTGAGTTTTGCCTGTTTGGCAGCCATAGTGCCCCTATTCTTGACAACTCCGATGAAGTGGGCCCATCTCGTGAACTCCCCTGGGAACTGTGTCCAATTCTGCAGTCCTGTTTCTGCCACGTTATCTGATGGGTTAGATGGGTTCCTGACCACAGGGCACGTCTTCATTGGGAACATGGCACGTGCAGTCTCACTGTAGTTTGTAGACCATTCCAGACGCAGCTCATGCTTACGTTGGATCATGTCGGTAAGTCTTTGTAACATTGACTCAGACGTGATGAGCAGGTTAGATGCACCTTTCTTTACCATATCTTCGTGAGCCCCAATAACGAGAAGGGACAGTAGCAGACTGCTTGGTCTGTGAAATTGATCCTTCCACAGAATGCCATTCCTCCAATGCTTCACCATCCTGATCATATCCTTTATCTTTATCGGCTGTTTTCTGATGAAGTCGGACTCTTTTTCGCAGGCTGCTGAGAGATACCAGATGTAATCCATTGGTCGCTCTTCTTTTATTGTCTGGTACAAGTTTTGAGAACTGTAATCATTGCGCCAATCGTAACAAGGAATCAAATCCACGTCCAAGTCTCCAACAGTGAATTGGACTGAGTACTGAGTGGTGGAGATGAAGGTTAACTTTGGAAGAGACTTTTCTGCTTTTGTCAGCATCTTTTGTGCATCTTTTAGCAAACTCGCCAAAGCACTGATGATGCTCGGTAGCCATCTAGCATGTCCCGTTTTTGGGAGATCATCACTGTATAGAACCAGATCTATATCTGATCTAGATTTAGTGGCAGTATCGTGGCCTAGAGATCCACCCTTGGCCACTCTAGTCACACGGAACGGTAAACGGGTCTGGCAAAAATCAATAATCTGTTCAATAATTTCACGATAGTCCTCATACCTCACAAGCTCAGGACGAACAAGACTTCCTTGACTTCCTTCAGTCAAGTTGACCTGAATTTTCACCTCCGGTCCGTCCACTGAAAAGTCGGGATGATCACCAACTGATTTCTCTATTGTGTCAATTGTAGTGCTCGGTAGTCTGGCATTTAGTGGAGCATCTAGAGATCCTTGAAAGGACTGTCTCAGCTGGTTCATGGTTAGATTGGTGGAGGAAGAAGACTGAAATGTATCTAAAATATTGGACACCACTGCTCCATTTCCACCACTTCCTTCCTGCTTTCGCTCAAACACATCAGCCAAATGTTCAGGAGGCTGAGACCTGGACGTCTCTCTACCACCACAGAATGGAACTGGATCATCACTCAGATCCCTCAGCAAATCTTTCACAAAGTTATTGGATATTATCATGGACGCCTTGAGATGATCTTCAGATCCAACAGACCTTTGCTTGCCCTCGCTCTGGATCTTCATGAGCTCGTCTTTGGTGCTGCTATCTTTCTTGTACTTCAAGTATTTGGACTCCCAGCTTCGTTCCAACACAAACCTCTCCCTGTCAGTGGTTTGTCTGGCACTGACTGCTGTTTCTACCTCAGGAGCACTACAACCGTCAATAGACGGCTCGAAAAGGACACAACTTCTCATCTCCATTAGGATTTGTATGGTTTTATCGCTGTATTCAGCAGGAAGTGGGGTGGTCATGAGGAGCTCAGCTCCTTCATTCCACACGATATCAATGCTAGGTCCCAGCACGACAGGAGTGCAGCCCTCAGCTCTCAGAACTACTCTCCATCTCAGTTGACAGATCCACCCATAACACCTGTAGTTCACATACATTAATCTGCCCATTGAGCCATCAAGACGAAGAGCTATCTCATACGCTTGGGTGTTGTCACAAAGTGCCTTCCTGTTGACGCACAGTTGCCACTTGAAGTTCTGGTCGTCCATCAAGTCGAGAAGTGCGACACCCTCCGCATCCCGATGAGTTCTGGTTTCAATTGCAGGGTTCTTGTAGACCACTTCACTTGCGTAAAACAACGTCAGGATCTTCACACCCACCACTATGTGGTCTCCCGACACAAAGTTCTTCAGCTTGTTGGTCTCACAGATAGAGTCCACTCCTCTTCCAATACCAGAGCCGGGCGGGAACTCTGTTACCAACCTCCTACTCTCCACGTGATAGGGATCCTTCAGCTCTCCCAGGGTAAACTGGCACTCCAACATATACCTCCGGTTCGTTTTGTCATCGTTTTTTATAAACATGGAGACTTTGCCACGTGCTTTCTCGTCGTCTCCGTTAGGAAAGAGACGTATTTGCCAGTGAGCACCTCCCATGTAGAACTTAGAACTGTGGTAGGACTCCCTGGAACAAAGTAGGTCCAACTTGTCCAGCTTAGCATTTTCATCATGATTAACATCCATTGGATTGAGGGTGATGATATCTTGAAACATGGTACTGACTATAGTGCATTCTAGTTCTAAAGAGAGACAATCGTTCCTGACAAATCCCGGCTCGTTCATTACGTCAACTAACTTGAAGAAGCGCTGACAACCCCAGCACTGGCCGTTCTTTGAGAACACAGCACCCTCCCTGGCAGAAATATTGAGAGATTTGAGGGGAGCTAGTAAGTTAACGAGGGACAAGTTGAACTGTAGAGCAACTTGTACCCCAGCAGGGTACATCTGGGCCTTGTCAAGAGACAGGTAAACTTTAACGTAATCCGCGTTCAGTGCCAACCCCAGCTCCCACTTGTGTCCTCCGAATGTGAAGGGTTCCGAGCAAGCTCCCTCGTAGAGCATCTTGGAGAAGTTGCCGAGGAGGAAGCGGAATCTGGTGGGTCTGTAGTCGAGGTGAGGTGGTGCCGAGGTGTAGTCATCACATGTCTCCACCCTGTTGAGGCGGAGGAAACAGTGCATCTCCTGCAGCTCACGTGACATTGTGGATACTGCGGAGGGGGGACGGGGAGTTTTAGCGGGACTCCTTGTTAGTGCGGGACTCCTTGCTAGTCCGGGACTCCTTGCTAGTCCGGGACTCTTTGTTCGTGCGGGACTCTTTGTTCGTTGAACTAGTTCAGAGGTCATCTTTACATTATCCTGGTATATTGATGTCGGTGAAACATACCGTTAATAAGCAATAAAATTACCAAGATCAATAAAGAGTAACTAAGTTTTAATTGAAACTCTAAATCAAAATGTCAGACAAGTTTCGAGTTTGAGGTTGAACTAGCACAAGCTTTCTGAAAAAGTAGACAAAACAAAATCTAAAAAGCCTACTAACTGAGAATAGTGGAAATTCAGCAAAACAATCAAGTGCAATTTATCAGTAGTACTATCAATAAGAAAAGATTGGCCAGTTACATAATCACACAATCTCTTACGCTGCTTGATTTTGCCAAGCATAAATTGCTCCTACTATATCGATTCGCAGCTCAAACGCGATTGTTGAAATTCACTAATACAGTTCTTACTAAACAATTTAAACTTTTAACAAGTGCAACAAATAGGACAGTAGTGTTGGTGTCACGTGACTCAGTATGGAAAACTGAGCTGAGCATCATACAGGGCCGGGACAATTGTTATTTCTGCCATGCAATCTATTTGTTTTTAGTGCAGGACAACACGACACTTGCTACTTTACCATAACTTTCTTTACGACACAATTACAAGTCAAACTTCAAGTCACGTGAATATACAGCCTGGAAAGAATAAGGAGGGAGAATACTCACCGAAGTGGTAAACAATGAAGTCGTGATGGAGTTTGCCGTTGTATCCTCCGAAGAAGTAGACAGAGTTGTTGTAGGTGAAGGAACCCTGGCCCATTCTGAAAGGACCCACCTGTTTCAGCTTTCTGAAACTTTTCAGTTCTCGTCCTTCTCCGGTTTCTGAGTGCACAAATCTACTTATTGTACACTTTTAAATAATAATTATAAGCTAAGCACAAACGAGCAGCTTCCGTTTAATCAACTTTCCTTACTTTCTCACAGTTCTAAATCCCTAGGGATATCAATGTATTGTAGAAACATTTTCTAGCTCAAAAGAGAAAGGCGTTGCGTATTATAACTAAAGAAGAGCTAGTACATTACTGGAATAGTTTCTAACACCACACCGCCTCTGACCGGTTCTTACCTAAGTTCAGGATATAAGGAGCAGTGTTGTAACACTGTGTTGAACCCTTGCTGAGATGAGCTCCTCCAAGTACAACTAGGTTCCTACCCACCATCCCAACTGCGGCTAAGTACACTAGCGGTATTGTGTTTCTGTCTGCTTTGTACAGGTTGCTCCTGAAATTAAGGAGATTACAAGTTACTCCTGAAATAAAGGAGATAACAGGTTACTCCTGAAATAAAGGAGATAACAGGTTACTCCTGAAATAAAGGAGATAACAGGTTACTCCTGAAAAAAGGAGATTACAAGTTACTCCTGAAATAAAGGAGATTACAGGTTACTCCTGAAAAAAGGAGATTACAGGTTACTCCTGAAAAAAGGAGATTATAAGTTACTCCTGGAATAAAGGAGATTACAGGTTACTCCTGAAAAAAGGAGATTACACGTTACTCCTGAAGAGAAGAGAGTACCCTCTCTGAATTCGCCAGGAGGGACTATTCAATCTAATTTAATAAATTCTACTCAGCATTTGAGAGTTCAACGATACATTTCATTCAAAAAAGACAAAAGTAAGTTTGGTGCCATGTTAACGTAAAATATTTTTGCTCTGAAAAGAAACTACAGCATGCTATCCTAGCTCCAGACACAAAGACCAATAAAACACATGGAAATTGGAAACAAGTCATGTGACTCAAGTATGGGGCATAGTTGGAGAAATATTTTCAGCTCACCATCGAACATGTCGAACAATTTTAAAGCGCGAGGTATTCCGTCTTCCCATAACGATTTACATAGTTAAAAAAGGCGAACCACGTAAAACAGTCTTGAAGCTTAAGTCTTGACAACATTTTCAGTAGGTAAATCATTAGTCACCCAAATAAAATTGCAAATAAAAATTATCATTCCAGAAAATTGTAAATTTAAAAACAATAGGGGGGTAGCCAAGGGGAATTTTGGCGGAAAAAAAATCCATTAAGGCATTTCCCAGAATTCGCCAAAATTCCCCTTGGCTTCCCCCACAATATAAGTAAATTAAGATGCTCAAGACCATCGGGTACAGACTCTCGGTACAGACTCTCACGAATCACAGGGGTCTCCCAAATAAAGTTCTATCCAAGTTAAAAGAAGCTTTTAGTATTAATAATTAAACATTTCTGCAGAGCAGAATAACTTCTGAATGTCAGTATGTAATTTTTATTATTTGAATTAACGTTAATGCTATTAATATACACATATGAAGTAAATCCTAATTATAATATACATGCTCCCAGACCACAATCAATGAACATGCTGATGAGAAATTACACACTGTGTACACGTGCACTAAAAATAATGATCCATTCAAACAAATTAGCGTACGTGTTGTAGAGGGCGAAGGACGCAGTAATTATTATAATAATATGGTAGTTAGATGCACTATGATTAGCCCGATACTAATGGCCGTTTTTCTTGTATATACAATATTGCTATTGTGTAATGGCATACTAAAGCCCTGATCCAAACGATGAGTATCTTACTATATATAAAGCGAGACGATATATGTTTATCCGTGCCATTTTACTGACACCACGGCATCAACTTTAACGCTACTTTCCGCGAAAACCGTAAAAGATATACAACTGAAACTTTTTTGACTGGGCCAAATGCTTTAATGGCCTCCAAATCAGCATGAAAAAATAAAAAATTGGCCAAGAAATAGAAGTTTTAGAGCCCCAAATTTGGACCCCCAAGTGGTGTCAAAAACGCGAATTAAATAGATAATAATTATTTTAGTCTCTTGAGTCTTGACCCTATTTTAGGGTTATACGGGTTCCTGCTAGTTATAATAATCCAAGAGAGCGCCCTATAGTTTGTAATTATGTAGTAGACTGGGCGGTGGTAGACTAAATTATACAACAACAGAGACCGGTTTATATAAGATCCTGATAGTGGAATGTGAATATTTTACCACCACCTGCCCTAACAAATAGAGTTGCATCCCGTGCTATTATTAAACAGGTGGGTAAAAGTGTTCCTTCATATCAGTATAAGTAATAATAATAACATGATCAACACGATATCTACACGGTTGTCTAAACATGGTTTATCAAAACAGTTTTGGTTTCCACTTAGTCTGGATCTGTGGTGTCAAAGAAAAAGTACTTCAGCGCTTTGAGCTGAGCCTCAAATACTTGGTGGAATAATATATTACTCGAGAACAAATTATATAGAAAATTTGAAAATAAATGGCTGCCTCCCAACTCACCAGTGTTTCATATAAAAGTCGTACTCTACAAAAGTAGATTCCTTAATAGTTTCCAGCTCGCTCTGTATCCAGTACTGTTCGTTTTCTCCCATTATACGTGTCGTGTTTAAACCTCCGAATACTGCGAGATATAGGATATAATGGAGTTCCTAAAATAGAATCCCTAGAATTTACAAGTAAACATTATATGGTTCATATCAGGGTTATTCTTCAGAATCTAAACACGAGATCCAGTGGAAGAGGCTGAATTGTTCTGGCTAAACTTGTGTGTCAACCAGTGGAAGAGGCTGATTTATTCTGGCTAAACTTGTGTGTCGAATGGTTTATGTGTTGCAACTGCAATACGTGAAAGTGTGGTGCCTGATATTTCGATTTTCGCTCTGGAATAAGGGCAAAACATATAATAGCAGGGTGGAGCAAGAAGTTGTGCATTAAATTTAATACCTCACTCAAATAATGTAGGTGTAAATTTAGGCCGGCCCATGCCAATATGTAACCTCACAACATTTTCTTTTGTCCAGCTCAAAGTATTAAATTAAGCCCTAAAAGGCTCGCAGAGTCCTGATCCCCTTGATAAAAAGTTTAAAGTTTCCACAATTTTCGAGAGCATGATCACTGATCATGCGCATATGAAAAGAAAACGTACCAGTATATAACTTACCAGTAACTTATTAGTAACTATATCCGTACATATACTATTATAATAACTTACCAGTTATCTTGTCAGTAATAGGATTCAGCACACACGACGGAGCGTATCGTCCGTGGTAGATCCGGCCATCTTCAAACTTAAGGAACCTGTCAGTAAACACAGTAAATACTCAGACAGCTCGCTAGTAACTACACGATACTCCTATTCAGAACAGACAGCAAACTCCTGTCTGCTCTACATTATAATAATATGTACACATTACACAATTGCAATTGTTTAAAAGTCCGACTAATCACAATTTTTCAAACACATCACAGTTTCCAAATCTGGCTATTACAACACCATACTTTTAAAAACGTTCGAGATTTAAACGTTGAAGAGAGCACACTAACAATGTGAATTGTGAACAGTAACAACAACCCACTGATTCAAGCCAGTGTAAAGGGAAATAACCTGCTATCAGCGTCGTAGAAATGTCTAGTCATCTTACGGTGGCCTATAACTTTCCACACATTGGTTTCCACATCATAGGTTTGTATGTTTATAATGGCCACCCCCTTGGAGTCTATACCGCCTATATAGTAGATAGTACTGTTGACCAGCACAGCACAGTGTCCCATAGAGCTTGTCCTGTAGAAGTAACCAATTCAGTGAAAATAAATATACCCTCATTTTAAGTTTACGTCACCTATTTTTTGAGAGCAAATCGAACGCATGTCATTTATCGCCTAGTTATTTTGATAATTTTTACCGGGTTCAGTGCAATACCATGCTCATTAATCAAGAATATGCCAAAAATATGAGATAATTCTTACTTCTGAATAAAGGTTAAATATTTTAAAGTTGTAAAACAGGTAAATTGATATTCACGGCAGGTATTATTAAAGCTTGAATGTTACCTGGCATAAGCTGGGTACATTTCTCCCAGGGGGTGCTGTGGGTTGAGTTGGTGCCACTGAGATGAAGTGATGTCATACTTCCACAACTCGTCTGTAATCTGGTAGTTCATCTGTCCTCCAAACATTATCAGGTAGTTCTGGGGTACGAGCATTTGTGTTAAATAATTATGTTATAATTACTGTTCTTACGAATAAATAATGAACTTTATAAGAAACTTGGTCTCACCGCTCACGAAAGATTTGTCAAATCTCAATAAGTTAATGATTGACAGGATTGTCGATAATAATTGGCCGAATGACACCAAACCCACGTGAACACTAAATGTGCTCTTATCACGTGACACGTCAATGTGTCACGTGATCTTCTGACGTGGTCACCTCGCTTCAAAGAAAACACGGACACGGACTAAAAAAGGTGACGTCTTATCAACTGCAAGTCCACTAAAAGGACATAAGTTGCACTAATTATACACTAATTAGACACTAATTAGACACTTCTACAGGTTGTCCAGATAAGGGGAGCTGCTCTGACGTGGTCTAATCAAGGCCCCACATTTAGAGCGTAAAGAAATTAAAACTAAAAGATTAAGAATTTGACCATACATTAGAAAAGACTAAAAAAGGCCTGTCTTCGACTACGTTGGGTAACGTGGGTAACGCGAACGTGTTCTTGATAATTTATAATGGACACAGTTGTCTAGCAAGTAGTTACATTCATTTCCATTTCTATGCTGTGACCTGTATCTAATATTTAGGATTGGAAACAGCATACATTAATGAACTGATACTCAACGAGGGATTTTGTCCAATAACTCGCTGTACTACGACATTTTCGTCAGAAGGAACTGGTACACAGTTGTTCCTTTACAACCTTACCATGTTAATTATTCAAAATTGTTTTGCCTTATATGGAGGTTAATGATATGGGGTAATTGAAACTTCAGTGGAAAGTTTACATTAAAAGAGAATAAAATATGAAGTTTTTCACCGAGTGGATTTGTAAAACTCATGCGAATGATCTTACCCATATAATATGAATATCCTCTTTCCTCAATAAACTTTATCCCAAAAAGTAGCGAAATCTTGGGAAAATTGGGAGATTAGGTTTGGCCACGATACAGTCACTATACGCCATACGGCATATAAACGGTGACCGTATCGTGGCCAAACATAATCTCCAAATTTCAAAAATTTAATTAATATCGGAAGAGAAAGCCAATAAGAACGTGTAATCAGCTTAAAAAGGAGGTCTACAAATGTACAGCATCCCTTGCAAGTTAGTCCCTTATCCCCGGTATATATTTAAAAACCTTAAACTAAATGTACCTTGTAAGCAGTGAGAGTGTGACCGTCCCTATCTATTGGTCCACTGTCTGTCCCTTTAGACCACGTGTTAGTTAACAGATCATACTTTGCCATCTTTACTTTAGTTCCATCCAGGTGGTACCCTCCGAACACCCAGTAGGTATGATCCACTAGAGCTCCACCGAAGCTAGCGCGTCCACCCGGCGATGAGGCTGCAAGTATGAGTCAGCAGATAGTTGACATGGTTCATGGATAAAAAGAACACGACACATTGTGGTTGCAGCTTTTTTCCTGGCATATGTCATAAAATGCCATCATATATTATTTGTCGACATAATATTGATATCAAATTTCTTAATAACATTATAACATGACAGCCACAGTTCCAAAAAACGGCAGATACTGTCGTTAACACAACACTTGATTATTATACTCACTGCTAGCTGCTCGGTAACTCCACCAATTGACAAGGGTATCAATCTCACAGTTATCTCCAGTAAAACCGTCAGGACACTCACAACCCCCAACTTTACACTGACCACCATTCTCACATTTACAGGTTGCTGTGTTACACAGATCACCTTGCCAACCAGCATTACAGACACACACCCCACCAGTGCACTGACCTTGACCACTGCAGTCGTTGGGACAACCGTCAACTCTGCAAATAGTTATAATTAGGAACTTATGACATCGGGACTATTGTTAGAAACTCCAGACATAAACTCCAGACATAAACTATTCAGACATACTAGAAGGAAACATAATTAACTAACATAATTAACGTATTCCAAACCTATATGAGATACTGAAACCATCATGGTTAACAAACTCGTCAGGTCTGAAAACTAAGTAGATGGAATTGGATGTGGAAACCATTTCTCGGTCCTGCTTTAGTAGTTGTATGTCATCGTCTATTAGCAGTCCCCTGATGTGGTAGTGGAGATTAAGTGCCTTAAATTTTGATTGCATTAGGAAGAAAACGTTGTAACAATGCGATATTTGCAAGGCCAGGATACTCAATTTGTAGAAAATTTGTGAAAATACTAAAATTTCAAACCCAATTCATTGACAAGTAAAGAAAAATAGTTTCATACCCATAAACACCAATGGTACGATCAAAGGGAGAGAGACCATCATGAAAATGAAGGAAATCCCAGCAACACTCTGTCATGAATTCATTCACATACAGTCTGATTGTTGTGCCCCTGAAAATTTACTAGATTAACATATTGATTCAAGTAAAACGTTCCAAGAAAATGGATACAAAGCAGAAAAGTCAAAGAATTTAAAATGAAAATTATGTGCATTACACATCTTTATTTAAAACTTAAAATCAAATGAAATGCATAGCTTACACTGGAGATTCTATAAGTACTGAACATTGGGAGAGATTTGAGTATCCTTTCTTAGAAACACCATCCCACTCATTACTAAGGATGACGCCCTCATTATCAGTTATCCTAAAAAGTAGTTGAATAATTATTAATTTAACTTTAAACCATAGAAAAATAATCCCTGGTTTATTGAGCCTCTACGTTATAGGGGATATCAAACGATTGTTGATGATCAAAAAGATTGTGCATCTAAAACAATAAACTTTCAAATGTATCTCTGGGATCTCAGTAAACTGTAAATTAAGAACTACCTTTTTCTCAACTGGCATATGGCACATGATATTTCATAAGACCCAGTGCTATTGGTACATGCACATTTATCAAGAATGCAAGGTCCAGTGCATGATCTGCAGACTTCAGAGACTACAACTTGAAAGTAAAGTATAAAATATATCCCTGCCGCGCACAACTTCCATATTCTCATGACCTACATCTGAGAAGTAATGAAGATTAGAACTGAATCAATAAAATCAAATCAAAATACTAAAAGAAGAATCACTTTACAAATCTTCTAAGAACAAAACCAAAAAATAATCGTTACGTTAATTGCTAGTAGATAAGGATGTCTGATGAAGTGTGCTGTCATTTTAATCTCCTACTTCGTAACTTGGCTATCATACAAAGAAACATTACTGCCCTTGTCCTTCCATGTGATACCTAGCACCATAATGCATATGCAATATTCTAGTATATGTCCAGTCCAAACCATTTTTTGTTTCAAGCCTTTGTCAGTGTACAAGTTTTGGATCCTTTATAGAGCAGAACTAATTAATTAATTGTTCATTATCGCAAAACCTATCATTTGGGCTAGATAAAGGAAGATACTGGAACAGTGGTGTAACGAAGGGCCCGCCAACCCCGCTGTACGAGGGGTGCCGTCTTAGGGGGGGGGGGGGGGGGGGGGCATCAAATCGTCGTTTGAATGTGGGACAATTTTGAAAAACCAACTGAGGTACTAGAAAAACTGCAAGTTTTGCTCTAGAAACACGCTTTTTTGAATATTTTATCCTCTAAAATCACCTAATTTGTTCAATTTTAGGGAGGGGCGCCAAAAGGCGGAGGTGCCAAAAGGCAGGGGGCGCCAACAGGGGCGCCTTTTCTCGGGGGGGGGGGGGGGGGGGGGGGGGGGGAGCGCCAACAGGCAACGTTATGCCACTGTACTGGAATCATATCACACATATCCACAATCTTACATCAAACGCCTGATCGACGACAAAGTCACCAGACTAAATCAGGAAACCTGGTTAACTGATGAACCCAGTCACACCAAATAGGGGAAGGAAGAAAAATTCAAACAATATACACATAATTAAATATAACAATGACCCTATATAAAAATTCAATATAAAAATTCAATAAAAATCTTAGAAAATTTCATAAAAACCCTTTGTAGTAGGATACAAAAGTGATAATTACTTTATTGAGTACACAATAGTTGTAATTCTGAAATAATTTAAGTTACACAATTCTAATTATTTACAAGTGTGTAGGGATAATTTAGAAATGTTATATAATGCTAGTTTTAGAAAAATAGATAAATCGAGTTTGTATGGTTCAATCTTATTTTAAGGTCCTATAGCATTATGCACTTGCCAGTATTTGAGTGGAAATCTGGGCTCTTATAGTAGGCTGTATAATTTTCGTTCACAGAGAGAATTGAATGGATTGCTCTTGCTGTAGCAGTGAGTGTGGTAGGATCTAGAGTTTTGTTGGAGAGCAAACCGACTAGGTCAGTAATGTTTAGGGGATGGAAATTGAATTTTTCCCTAACTGAGGAGTAGAGCAAACAGTCAATCAATACGTGACTTTCGTCCTCAATAGGCTTGAGCCCTTTGCTGAAAAAGCAGTAGGTGCACCAACGTTCTTCTCTTGGTACAAGGGGGGTTTCGTATCTGCCCCTTTCGATGTAGAGGTTGTGGCAGCTGATACGAAACCTTGTCAGACTTTTTCGAACATCCGGTATATTGATAATTCGTAGGTATGCCTCTGGTTCGAAATCATGTTTAATTAAGTTATAGAATTCTAGTTTTGGCGAGGAGGCCTTGGCAGCTTTCCAGGTATTCACGAATTCTTCCCTCATGTTATGACTGATTTGGGTGGAGAGCTTAGATTTTGAGGAAGATGAGGGGGTGAAGTTGTATTTGGTGAGAAGCTTTGAGATGTTGGTATACCAAGGAAGTCCCAACATGATTTGTTCGTGAAATGCAGCACAGAGTAGTTCGTTTTCAGTGTTTTCAAGGCGACTATAGTAATCTATTGCAAGTTTGCAGGCTTCAAAGAATAGAGTAGTAGTACAGTGGCGTGACGAAGGGCCCTGCTGACCCCGCTGTGCAGGGGGGCGCCGTCTTAGGGGGGCGCCAAATCGTCGTTTGAATGTGGGACAATTTCGAAAACTTAACTAAAGTACTAGCAAAACTGCGCGTTTTGCTCTAGATACACACTTTTTTAGAGATTTTACCGGCGTATCCTCTAAAATCACCTAATTTGTTCAATTTTAGGGAGGGGCACCAAAAGGGGAGGGGGCGCCAACAGGGGGGCGCCTTTTCGGCAGGGGGGCGCCAACAGGCAACGTTACGCCACTGTAGTAGTAGTAAAAGTAGCCAATTCAAATTGTTGGCCCTAAATTAATATCTAAATTTGATATTTTAACTATACTACCACTTTTTATCCCTCTTTCTCCAACAAATTGACACAAACACATCAACATCATCAAAAATCTTATCACTACACTCGGCAACAACAGACAAAATTACAGAACTGCAGTGCACCTCATCACGGGATATTGTGGCTTAAACAAACACCTCCACACCATTCGCAAATCAAGCACCAGTGCTTGTCCTATGTGCATCGACGGAGAGGAAACTGTCTCACACTTTTTAGGACAGTGTTCGGCTATTGCCCAAATAAGAAGTCAATATTTCCAGGACTATTACCTCTTCTTCTGTATCTTTGGTTAAATTACGCTGTAAAAGTATCATCCTGGGATCCCAATCCATCAACAATAATAACACCTGGACTTACCACAACTTTCACATCGCCCCTCACTCAGTCACAGACCAAACCATTTCATCACTCACTCACCAAATTGCCGACCCAATATCTATTGAAGTGGCGAAAATTTTCTAGACAAATGATATTTCGATATTATTGCTGCAGCAGATACAAATATCAACATTATTATATTCCCAAACGTTTGAACCTTTAAATTAACTAGGAAAGTCAATCCTCAACTTGACTTTTACTGCTTTAAACAGATATGATGATATTAAGTGAAACAAATTTTAGTGAAACAAATTTAAAATTTTATCCTTTATTTTACAATCATAATATAATAATATTTATAAGCCTCCGTTTTGAAAGTTTTAAATTTTAATATATTCACATTTCTATTTAAAATTCAATTTAATGTATAAGTCAATAACTGGCCGCCAAAGCCGCGCATTCTTAAAAACATGATTAAATTGTTTATGATTATACGACAAATAGAAATAAATTTAAAATTATCCGTGGTTTTTTTAAAAATAAATTATAATCTTACCTAAATCCAAAGCCAGCTTTGTAAAATTTACTTTTAGATCAAAATATATCGTCAATTCTAAATATTTACAATGCAACATTTCATTAATTTACATACAAGCGTACTCCAGCCCCTGCACGCATCCGTTCTTATGCGGCGCGGCTCAAGCCGCGCACGCACGTATTATTTTATACTTTTTGCTTTCTAATAAATATCGTGTCAATGTGTACGTCTAAATGTTCATGCTTTGTGTAAACCGAATCCAATTGAGATTAGTGACAAGGATAAGGACCCAAGTGCCTGTACGGCTTTTTCGGACCCCTGTGGACCACTACTCTTGAAGTCGCTCTACAACTATTGAACATTTATAACTGTTATATAATATATAACGACATTTGACAATTATTATCATTAATCTATAATCTAGCTGTCTTGCTGAGGGGGAGGAGTAAACGCTTCACAAACTAAAGTGCTTACAACATACAAAATTTAAAACCATCAACACGGTTATAGTTCATATCAAGGGCCAATTTGGTATACCTCTATTTCGTTGTAATATCTAGTATATCTTCACATCTTATATTAATACTATAATGAAATACAATAGGATACATGTTTCGAGAAAGAAAGGTTGGTCCGATTATTAACAAAAGTAAACAAAAGTCCATCAGGGACTCCACGGAGTCGAAAAAGGTACACGGCTGCTGTCTGGTGCTGCTAGGCATTTATTGATCACGATGTTTTATTGTATTGGTTTTTGATGATTCTATTGTTCGTGACTAATCAAGTTCTAAGTGGGGGTATAAAGTGCTGCTTAAGATACTTCGTCATCTCATTTCCAGTATAATGAATAAGATAGTAAACAATATAGTTTCAGTAGTTGACCCATACAGTTAGGTCCGTCATAACTCACAATTGTTTAGTCATCTGTCAATTGTCAAAGTCGTTGTGTGTTTAGTCGCTGAGTTAGCAGTAAGATAAGTTGTTACGCGCGCGCGCGTTTAATCCCGTCGACGTGAAATGTGACAATGAAAACGCTACAGAATTATTGTTTTCGCGCGTTACGTAGAATTTACTAGTGTGTAATACTGGTTAACACTGGGTGTACACTGAGTGTAAGTCGCTAAGTTTCATATACGAGCCGAATATTTCTAATTTTGAGTGTATCGTGAGCATGTTTTACAGTGCAATTGTTCGGTACTAGTGTGTTTGTGTGTATATATAAATATATCATCTGTGGAGTATGGTGTGTGGACTGTGGTAAATAATGTGTTTAGTTGGAGTGCAGTGGTTGCATGTATGAGGAAAGATAAGTGGTTATTTTAGTAACTCATATTAATCAAAACTTGAGCTTATTCGTGGCAAAATTAAGCTCACACCAATCAAGTGTATCATGCTTGAATTGCAATTCTTGTAAAGCAATTTTCAATGTATTCTTAAACCCGTTTGTCGGAGTATTAAAACTTATCTTACTTGATGTTTGTCGACAGCTGTTCCACATGTAGGATGATTGGTAGATGAATTGTGAGGATGGTTGTGATGTGATGAAATGATCCTCTCGTCGTGGTGACCTGTTAAATGATGAGTACAGTGATAATGGTTCCTCTAACTTATTAATTTTGAATAGTTCTAAGAGACAAGTGTACTTATACAGGTTGTGAACAGTTAACAATTTCTGATTCTTAAACAAGGGCTTAGAGTGTTCTTTTTTGTAAAAGTCCACACCTAGTCTTTGCTCACCAAATGGTCGTGTCCGGGCACAAGTTCTAAATTTTTCTAAGTAAGCTTCTTTATCCCCAAATAGAATTCTTATACACTTTTTCTGTGTTTTAAAGAGAGGTTCGAGTCGGTTGTTGCTAATACCACCCCATACAGATATTCCAAATCCCAAATGTGATTCGAATAAAGTATGGTATAA